TGCGCACAATGCCTGTCTACAAGAATCTGACGACTTGTGCTGTTCTTTTCTGCAACACTTTCAGGGAAAGCTGGAGGCTTTACGTGGGACTTTAAGTGATGAGCCGACCACTTCTAGTTGTGAGCAAGCTCAGATACAAACACTTAATAACTTTATGTTGACCAACCCCATCTTGATAAGTGAAATGATACAGAAATCCAATTCTTCTTCTAGCCAGCTTGATTCTGCACCCACAACCCTTCTGAAACTCTGTTGCTCTGTCATTTCTGCACCTATCTCACATCTTGTAAACATGTCTCTTCTCTCTGCCTCTGTTCCAGTCTCACTAAAGACGGCTGCAGTTACTCCTATTCTTAAAAAAATTAATCTGGACTCAACTGACTACACTAACTATCGCCCAATCTCCAATTTACCGTATGTCTCAAAAATCATGGAAAAGGTTGTCGCCACTCAATTTCAGTCATATCTATCTCTCAACAATAGATTCAATTTATTTCAGTCTGGTTTTCGCCAAAACCACAGTACTGAAACTGCATTAGCAAGGGTTATCAATGACCTCTTACTCTTTGGTGACTCGGGAAACCTTTCCTTACTTTTACTACTCGACCTCAGCTCAGCTTTCGATACTGTCTGCCATAAAGTCCTACTCATGCGCCTCTCAGAGATTGGTATCTCAGGAGCCGAGTTATCTTGGTTTTCCTCCTATCTGACAGATAGAAAATACTACATCACTATGCACAATTACAAATCTCCAACTGTCACTCTCAAACAAGGTGTTCCACAGGGATCAGTTCTCGGCCCGTTACTATTTATTATTTACATTTTGCCTCTTGGGCAAATTATTCGCCGCCACGGTTTTCAATACCACTGCTACGCCGACGATATCCAAATATATACTCCTTGTCGACCGGATTCTATTCTCCAGACCACATTACTATCATCATGTATTAATGAATTAAAGACCTGGGTCAACTCCAATTTTCTCAGTCTGAATCTGACTAAAACAGAAATATTAATCACTGGCCCTCCGTCTCTAACAAAAAATTTAAGTAATGTTCCCAGACTTGACCTTGAAGCGACATCAATAATTCCATCTGCCACTGTCAAAAACTAGGGTATCACTTTTGACCCTGCACTGACGTTCGACACTTACATTAGTCAACTTTGTAAAGCGTCCTTTTTTCATCTCCGTATTGCCAAACTCCGTCCCTATGTCAGCTCAAAAGACGCTGAAGCACTAGTACACGCGTTCATCACATCTCGCCTCGACTACTGTAATGTTCTTTTTTCTGGACTACCAGCACACTGTATTTCACGTTTACAATATATCCAAAACTCTGCCGCAAGACTACTAACTCACACTAAAAAAACTGCCCATATCACTCCAATTCTGTTTAAACTGCACTGGCTACCCGTGTCATCCCGTATCACTTACAAAATTCTTCTGACCTTTCTCATTACAAAATGACCTTTAAGTCACTCAATGGTCTTGCTCCAGCCTATCTCTCTGACTTACTTTCTCCTTATATTCCCCCTCGAACTCTCCGATCTTCTGGCTGTGATCTCCTATGTGAGCGGAGATTTCGTCTATCGTCTATGGGTGGCAGGTCTTTCTCTGTTATAGCCCCTAAGTTATGGAACTCTCTTCCGTTGGCTCTCAGGACAACAACCACGTTGCACGAATTTAAGCATAAACTCAAAACACATTTGTTTAACCAGTATTTCAGTCATGAAAATGTTAATTTGACATAACACAGTCACAATGTTAACTGTCTGTAATTAATAATTAATGTTTGTTGTCTTTGTTTTTATGTTTGTATTGCAAATGTAATGCGACTTGCAACTGCAATCGCTCATTACTTGGACTGGGCAAATGTCCACTGTCCGTTTATGTATAAACTGCTTATCTACTGTGATTGTGAAGCGTCCTTGAGCTTGGGAAAGGCGCTATATAAATTAAACTTATTATTATTATTATTATTATTAAGAGAAAGGTATTAACAGAAAATCACAATATATGTTGGGCATGATCCTTGTGTTATGAAGAGAAGCGATTTAAATACACTAGGGTAGGGTATTCTGGGTGGTTGCTATGGTGTTGCTAGGCGGTTGCTAGGGTATTCTGGGTGATTGCGAGGGCGTTGCTAGGTGGTGTACGATGTTCTGGTGCTGAGATATGGCTTATTCATGTGTTCAGGTGGATGCTAGGTGGTTGCTAGGGTGTTCTGGGTGGTTGCTATGGAATATAAATCCTCTGAGTGAGAGAGAGAGGGAGAGATGCAGGGCTGTCAGGCCCTTTGGTGTCTGTGTGTGTGAAAACGTTGGTTGGGATTCAAATTTCTGAACATTACGCAATGTTAAGTCAATGGGACTTTTTTGGCCGCTTTTTCGTCTATGGTTATAAAGACTGAGACATTTAGAGCACCATTTACCATGACAAAAACAATGACCTGCCTACACCTCTGCTTAGCGCAAGATGAGACCTTAATGTCACTTAAGTCTTCCAAATATATAACACCATTTAAAAAAATTTAACCTGTTTAAATAATTTGTTGTACAAGTATAGAATAAGTGTATATGAGCAGATTTTGCCAGGTTTCAGTACTTCATCATGTGAATTTCTACAGCACATTTGTAAGTATAGATTTTAAATGTTGCAAAGTATCAGTCAATGTCTTCTGAAACACTCTAGTCTAGACAGTCAAATATTAGCATCATTAAGGAAAAACAGGAGCATTGAGATTTAAAAGATGGCATTATGTTATAAGATTGTGCAGTGACCATTTAGCTCATCATTTAATTCATTGTAAAATTAGATTCTTCTATTCAAAAGAAAACCTTGACTGCATTACAGTTTTGAACAGTTTTCCTCTAAACCAATGTATTTTTTTACTGTATCAGATGATGTAGAAAATCACAAAAGGACAATATCCTCATAATAATGAATGCACACACCTTCAAAAAAAAAAAACGAACTTAATTGAATCAAACCATGTAGTGTTGAAATGCATTTTATAAACATCCATAAAGGACATCATAAACTGCAGGTGGGGAAAACATTAATTTAGTTGTTATTATGCTTGCTTACAGAGGATTAATAGCAGTCAGCTTTACCCTGGGTACATTGGCTGGTACGCAGCACAGTCTGCAGTTGCTGTTCAAGGCACTCTTGCAGGCTTGTTCACCTGAAATGTACAGTCTGTTAAAGTTCTCTCTTGCTTCTCAGTGCAGTTCGTGGTCGTTACTTTTCTAGCATACGATAATGTGTTTTGTTGACCAGTGCATTGTGAAATTAGTGATCGCTGCAGGACGTAGTGAAAAATTGACAGTGATGTCATGATCATCGCTCCAAGCTCCAGTGTTTTCACCCAGCTGTGATGTGATCCTATTCAACCCAAGCCACCGATTAACCTAAACCTCAACTTCATTCACTCTTCAGGTTTATGCACATATGCAGACAGAGCTTATATTTACAGAAGATATTATAAACAGTGTCTATACACATCTACTCAAATTTAAGAGCATATTACCTTATAGCATTTACATGTGTACAGCTCAGTGTTAAGGAAATTGATTCTGCACAAACACAAGCAAGCTAAACAAATTTTGATGAAAAATATACGTTCTGTACATATGCCTATGCTAAAATTCAGAGATGCTACATAGGCTATATGAATATATACAATAATACTCATCAATGTACATAACCGATGTACATCACATATGCCTACATTGTTGGCCTGAATATTTACATGTTCAAGTGGGATTACTACATGCACATTGTAAACGACTACATGCTAGCAACTGCAACAGATAGAATTGCACACTGAAAGGCCTAACCGGCACTCTAAAGAAACTAAAATTGAGCGTCAGCGTCAGTTCTGGCAGGCCAGGTAGTCAAGCCGCTGCTTATGCTATTTGCTATCAACACTGTCCCGTCAGCTGATCTGCTCCAGCTGAGCTGCATTAGCTGGGTAACTCCCCTCGCTGCTCAATGGCCAAAGCTCAAACAAGGCGCCCTATTTAAAGCTCATTCACCTTGCTCATACATGCTTGCTGCTCGCTCTGCTGGCTCGCTGCCCGCTTCTGCTGCCCGCCACCTCCCCAGCTCCTCCTTATGCATAACATGGCATTTGCTTATGTCATGTTGCCTGCTCTGTTCACAGGGGGATATTTTAGCTCTCACAGTCTAAAACTGTGTGAGCGTTCCCTAATGCTGCTGCTGCTGTCCTCTGACTCTCTGCTATTTCATGGTGCTCATGAAAGGTCAGAGGACTCCCTGAACAGAGCCATACCGCCAATTTCAATTTAGGAACATCAACCTGTTTGCAATCTATTCAATTAAATTCTAAATTTTGTCTGTGTGTTCTTGACTTAATGGACCTGACAGAAGTATTTTCGGCGACAGAGTAAGAAGAATAGGTACAGTGATGGTAAAGCTACATGGTCCTATTTCTAGAACTAGGAACCTCGCTGGGGGAAGAAGGTGCTGTCCAAGAAGGAGAGTGCATAGCAGGGAAAGCAAAGACTTCTTGGTTAAGATTTGCAGTCATTGTTGGCCAGTAGTCCATGTCTATGTGTTGAGCATTCAGCATCTTTCCGTAACAGCTGCCGGGCACCAAATAACTGCGCTGGAGTACTTGTGTAGTGTCAGTCGCCATCACATGGGCATGGAAATCAATCTGCGGCCATGAAAGAGGCAGTTGGGAAGCATTCAATCTTTCCGTTGAAACCGGAGCCTAAAGAAAAGACATCATGGAATATCTTTCTTAGTTAGAACCAACCTTTTTGAACCTGAGCATTAAAGACGCATAAAATCATCATCACAAACTTCAGTCATCATTCAATTTACTCATCCTCTTGTCATTGCAAACCTGTATGAATCCATATAATAGATTTTTTTAAGAATTTTATTGCATCACGAGGGTGAGTAAATAATGTCAGAATGTTCATTTTCATACCCTTTAACATTTGGTAAGGGAGTATTTTAATAATCTCACCTCTATAGCGCTCCAGATCCTGGATCGGGTCAGTTGCCGTGGTCTTAGACTGAGGGATTGTGAGCGTGAAGGATCCCTTACCCCTTCTGCCCAGTTATCCATGAGTCTCTGAAGCTGCTGTGTGAATGTATCATCTGTCTTGTTGTTGCTGTTATTAGTCTGTGCTTGGGCGAGACCGATTGGCTGGTGAGGAGGAGTTGATCCAGGAGGCATTGTGGACTGATTAGAGGCAGCTGATGCTGCTCCAGATCCTATGAAACAAGTTGGTTTGAGATGTATGAATAGCACAAAAAGAGCTGAAATGCAATCCATACCTTCTTTGATTATATTAAATGGTTAGTTCACCCAGAAATGGCAATTCTGTCATCATTTAATCACCCTTGTGTTGTTCCAAACCCACAAGACTTTCCTTCATCTTCAGAACACAAATTAAGATATTTTTTAATAAAATCTGAGCCAGTTCTGTACTTTCCATTGACAGCTATGTAACTACCACTTTGACGCTTCAAAAAGTTCACAAAGAGAACGTAAAAATAATCCATATGAATTGAGCGGTTTAGTCCAAATTTTCTGATGAGACACGATCGCTTTATATGATGAACAGATTGAATTTAGACTTTTATTCAACATTGATCACCAAACAGAAACAGAAGCTCAACCAAACCTACTTGAGGTGCAAGAACAAACTTCATTGGTTCTTGAGAAAGCTCAAACATGATGCGTAACACGAGAATGGACCTCATTGGTTTTCGCACATCAAGTGGACATGCTTGAGCTTCCGTTTACCACAAATGATGTGTGCTTTGATGAAAGTTTATATGTGAATAAAAGCCTAAATTAAATCTGTTCAGTGTATAAAGCGACCATGTCTCTTCAGAAAATATGAAAAAATCTCTTAAAAAAACGAAACAATAAAAAATCACTGAGATTTGTGTTCCGAAGATGAACGAAAGCCTCGGAACAACATGAGGGTGAGAAATGAATGACAGATTTGCGGAATTATCAATTCTACGTGGGTTGTGCCTCGGCACTAGCCTTAGGGGGTAATCCATCGACCGGAAGTGGAAGCCGGCCGGGTGCCGCCATCTTGTAGCAGAACTTCACTTGCGTTAGCATTTCCATTGACTCCCATTCATTTTGGCGTCACTCTGACAGCGAATAACTTTACATCTGAGGCGTTTAAAGACTCCATTTGTCCATTATTTATTTCTAAAGAAACACGACAATGTATAAAGGGCTCCATTACCTTCTATGTTACATTATGGCCCCGTAGAAACAGTTTTTGTAAAAATAGGCTAACGATTGCGTCATAACCACTCGACTCTCTGTCGCACTGTACAAAAATGGCCGTACAGACAGCAGGAGAAGCTCGCAGGCAATCGGGGGGACGTCCCGTCAAGGGAGAAGCCCATAGATAATGAGTCCATAAAAGCAACGGAATACTTACTCCTGCTCACTCACGCCAAAGAACTCTTTGCTCAAGTTCCCCGTCTCTGCAAGATTAACGTTGGCAATTTTCACGCACAGCTACTAGAAGATTAACGTCTGTCAGACAGGTTGCTCACGTCATCAAGCTTAGTTTGAGTCAGTTTGAGTCTGCGCGTCAGGAACGGAAGTGCTCAAAAATCGCTAAAAATGGGCTTCAACTGTCTCAACTGAGTTCCAATGAGATGGCTCTATCCACTTCTTATACTGTCTATGGTTCTACCAGACTCTCGTACATTTCATTTGTACAGAGTCTGGCACCGCTCCATTGACAATCGTTAACTTCCTTGTAGGCGGGTACTCTATTGAAGTCTAAAACTATTGGATCTGCCCAGAGTCACTCTGCATCTGCCACCAATCGCTAACGTTTGCTTGTAATGTATGTCGAACCCCGTGGGGAGGAGGGCCACAACATCATGGCCAAAACAAAACTAAGCAAAGATTGTTCTTGCTCCGGCTTTAAGTTCTTAATATTCGGCAGCGTTGCTACAACGGACCGAATGGCTTCGCTCGCATCTTTCTCCGCTGCCATTACTGAACTACAACTCAAAATAACGCACAACGTCATCGTTCTCAGCCACTCCCTCTGTTCGCTGATTGGCCCTACAAAAATTTGATCGGAGAAAACCAAAGTCTACAGCAGAATCCCAGACGAAGGAAAATGAAATTGAGCGGAAATGCGTAGGAGAGCGCAGCCAGGCTACCTCGGCACGGCACAGCGCGGATGAATCCAATGTTTTCATGAGACTGTGAGGCTGACAGTCGCCGCGCCAGTGTGGATACGGTCATTCGCAATCACAGATTCTACTTTTTGGAAGTATGACCAACATAAGAATTTCACCAACATAAGTATTTTCACCTAGCCTGGGAAAACCCAGACAACTTCCGGCAAATTTAGATTTGCTCTGAAAGTTAGTCTGGCAAAGAGCTCATTCAAGCCCATTTCCAATCCGTCGAAATCGAGGCACCAATCAGAAACGTTGGGGCGGGCTTTACACGATGACGACAGCGCTGGGATTTTTGAAGCGGATTTTGTAGCCTACATTACAAAGATGGATGCCGCCGTCGAACATCACTCGTTCGAATCAGCTATCGCATCTGTTTTAAGCGATTTGAATGTTTCCTTTTTGTTAAAGGGGTCATATAATGGTACATGCACTTTTACAAGTTGATTGTACTGAAATGTGTGTTGGCAGTGCCTGTACACAACCATCATATAATGATAAAAATCCATCCAGTGTGTTTGTTTTAATCTCCTTATATGTTTTCCCCTGCCTCAAATCGAGCCGTTCGACCGTGTGACGTCACAAGCTCGCACGCCTCTCCCACGATTGTTGATTGACAGGAGCGCTTCAACACAGACCCGCCCTCGCTCATGAGGGAGCTGTCAATCATAGTCTGCGCGGACCGGCGCGGTCATTGTTGATATGCTGGAGCTGTCTATGAGCAGAATGGCGTCTAAGCGATTGTGGTGTTCTGTTCTTGGGTGTAATAATGAACACAGCAGTCATTTTAATGTTCCTAAATCCGAACCGCCGAAGACGCAGTGGCTGAGTTTGTTTTCGAAGGGAATATTCCCCACGAGCAACGTCACTACTCTCATGTTTGCGCGAATCATTTCTCACCAGACTGCTTTATAAACGAGGATCAGTATAAAGCTGGATTTGCTAAGAAGCTGCTCATGAAAAAAAGGATCGGTACCAGATATTCGTGTTCCTGCTGAACCTCCAGAAGAACTGAAGTGAGTGTAACGTTTTATTAAACTTTATATTAATATATTAATCTTTGCAAATCGCTAGCTGCACGCTTCACAATGAATGCGTCTAAGGTTTACACTCAGGGTACATTACGGCATGTTTTCTATGTATGACGTTCTCAATATAATTCATAATCCCACGTTTATACTGAACAACACGTTATGGTTATTGTGTTGTTGTGTTACAAACGGTGTACGCACAGAACAGAGAGGCGGAGTCAGCAAAGCTCATTATCATTTAAAGTCATATGCACTGAAACGGCGTGCTGAAAACAGAGCTGTTTTTGACCAGGTAAAATAAGTGTTTTCTTACAATACTAATGAGAATTTTTAATTAAAGTATATTACAAACTTTTCATTTAGACCCTAAAGAATCATATTAGCTTGTACAAAAATGGCATTATATGACCCCTTTAAAAACCGAGCAAAGAACAACACTCGGAGATGTTTCTCCTCCGCTCTGCATACGTCATCTCCTTCATCGCTCTGATTGGGTTTAGGTCTATCCGCGACGACGTCCATTGGTGACGCCCCTCTGGAAATGATTTGTCTATGACGCTTTGCCAGACCATAACCAGAGAATGTCTAATTGAAGAGAATTGGCACTGTCTGGTTACTTCCGGTTACTGGACTGGCTGCAGTAACACAACTCTTTCCATGCGGGGGCGCTCGCGGGCGAGTGCAGAATGAATGGGAGTCTATGGGGTTTCACCCCCAGAAATCCACTTTTCTCAGGATGTAATTTTTTGTCAAGTAATTTTAAAGTTGCATTCAAAAGGGAGGGCTAAGATAATACACTCAGCTGAAAATTGCATTTTTAAGATCACTTATCTGTTCTAAAAATCCATTCAAAAATGTGATGACGTCACATAATAGCAGAATGCTAGCGTGTTCCGGCCAACAACGGCCTAACCTGTAAGAAATCGAAAGGACATAAGTACTCATTCATTTGATTTTGGCCTATAATCTATATTGAACTTGCGGAATCAACAATAAAATATCTGTTGATTCAACGACAAGCAGGAGAAAGAGATACATTTAGCCGTTTAGCTCCATAGACTCCCATTCATTCTGCACTCGCCCGCGATCACCTCCAGTGGAATTCTAATGGAACTGCAACCAAGATGATACAAAATGGGGCTAATAGGAAGTGCCAAGGCTCTCCATTAGACGGGCTCTGCCATAACTCAGTTACAACTGAGAATGGTCTGTTTTTAACCAGGCTAAGTTCAGACAGGAATTATTGGAACGTTGGAGTGGAAAAAGAAGCACCGATGAATGATGCACCACAAAAATCTTCAGCTTTTAGTTAATTGTACATAAAAATAAACTTTAGGTAAATAGTGTCAAATGAATGTAAATGAATTCTAATTTTAAATTTTAGATAAACTTTCTAATTTTAATAAACGTATAGAAACAAATAAACTTTACATGAAATAAATATAAAAATTACAATACTTAAAAATCATTGGACTACCTGCAAAAAAAAAAAAAAAAAAAAAAAAAAGCCTCAAAAGAGTTTGAAATTTTTGCTGTGGTATCAAACCTGATATTGAGAATTGTGAAACCATGAAATACATTACTGTGAAGTAAAATTAAGATTTTGGTCATTTCACCATCCATATTCTTTGCTAGATAGCAGAAAAGGTTCACACAGTTTTACGTACTGTATGATTTTTTTAATAGTGTTCACCACAAGTAATATACTACATTGTGACCTGGTCAGAAATAAGTACTATATAAATGGCTGCTATTTTGCACAAGTTTATTTGTAATTGCAAGGAAGGAAGGAAGGAAGGAAGGAAGGAAGGAAAGAAAGAAAGAAAGAAAGAAAGAAAGAAAGAAAGAAAGAAAGAAAGAAAGAAAGAAAGAAAGAAAGAAAGAAAGAAAGAAAGAAAGAAAGAAAGGAAGAAAGGAAGAAAGACATAGATGGCAGAGATGAGGTTAGGAATTAAAAGTCAGTAGGCCTACATAGTTTCTTTATTCACTGTGACCTAAACCTGCACTGGATGGTATTTTGTGTATTTCACATGTATTTGGTGTATTTTCAAAATACAAAATACTGTATTTGTATTTAAATAAAAAATTTCACACAGTATTTTGTATTTAAATATTTTTTTCACACAATATTTAGTATTTTTTATTTTAAATACATTTCCATCTATTTATGCCCATCTCTGGATGTGCTGTTGTTGCAGTCTAAAGTATTTTCAAAAGTATCAATTTAAGCATCATTATATAAAAAAAATATATAAAAAAAATAAAGGAACCAGTTGCTGAAAATGCCTATGCATCTGCTGAATCTTCCAAAATAATGTTATGGCAAAGTTATACAGTAAAGTTCTGCGGTAATTTTTGCCATGAAATGAATTGTTACATCGACGTCACATTGCCTATTATTTATTGGTTTGTTTGTACAAGGCTGACATTTCTGAAAATGTGTAACAAAATGAACTTTAAACGATTGTAACAGATAAATGAACCGTTTCATATCCCATTTGAAATGAAGGGATAAAAAAACTGAAGATGAACATGGCTCAGATTTAAGATAGCATATTTTTTTTCTATATAGACTTTACAGAAAATAAACAAGCTATAAAGACTGATAGAAACATAAAAGGTCACTATCATACATTATAGCACCATTTACCATGACAAAAAACAATGACCTGCTACACCTCTGCTTAGTGCAAGATGAGATCTAATGCCACTTATGTTTACTTCCAAATATATAACACCATTTGAAAAACTACAACCTGTTTCAATAATTTGTTGTACAAGTATAGAATATATGTGTGTATGTGTATATGAGCAGATTTTGCCAGGTTTCAGCACTTCATCATGTGACTTTCTACAGCACATTTGTAAGTTTGAGTATAGAGTTTGTTATATGATACATATAACTTCCCAGAACTTGTACAGATGTTTGTCAATTAGTAATGACTATATTTCAAAACTCAAATTGAATTGTTAACAGTTAATAATTTAGGGTAGCCATGGTCTTTTATATGTTGCAAAGCATCAGTCAGTGTCTTCTGAAACACTCTAGTCTAGACAGTCAAATATTAGCATTATTAAAAAATAAAAAATAAAAGTATCATTGACATCTAAAAGATGGCATTATGCTATAAGCTTGTGCAGTAACCAAACCACTGCGCCAGCGGAGATCATTTAGCTCATCATTTCATTCATTGTAAAATTAGATTCTTCGATTCAAAAGATCACTTGATGGCATTACAGTTTTGAAAACAGTTTTCCTCTCAACCAATGTAATTGTTTTACTGTATCAGAAGATATAGACAATGACAAAAGAACAATATCCTCCTCCTAATAATGAATGCACACACCTTAAAAACAAAAATGACACTCTTAAATGAATTATACCATGTAGTGTTGAAAAGCATTTTATAAACGCCCATAAAGGACATCATAAACTGCAGGTGGGGAAAACATTAATTTAGTTGTTGTTATGCTTGGTAATAGCAGTCAGCTTTACCCTGGGTACATTGGCTGGTACGCAGCACAGTCTGCAGTTGCTGTTCAAGGCACTCTTGCAGGCTTGTTCACCTGAAATGTACAGTCTGTTAAAGTTCTCTCTTGATTCTCAGTGCAGTTCGTGGTCGTTACTTTTCTAGCATACGATAATGTGTTTTGTTGACCAGTGCATTGTGAAATTAGTGATCGCTGCAGGACGTAGTGAAAAATTCACAGTGATGTCATGATCATCGCTCCAAGCTCCAGTGTTTTCACCCAGCTGTGATGTGATGCTATTCAACCCAAGCCACCGATTAACCTAAACCTCAACTTCATTCACTCTTCAGGTTTATGCACATATGCAGACAGAGCTTATATTTACAGAAGATATTATAAACAGTGTCTATACACATCTACCCAAATTTAAGAGCATATTACCTTATAGCATTTACATGTGTACAGCTCAGTGTTAAGGAAATTGATTCTGCACAAACACAAGCAAGCTAAACAAATTTTGATGAAAAATATACGTTCTGTACATATGCCTATGCTAAAATTCAGAGATGCTACATAGGCTATATGAATATATACAATAATACTCAATGTACATAACTGATTCATCACATATGCCTACATTGTTGGCCTGAATATTTACATGTTCAAGTGGGATTACTACATGCGCATTGTAAACGACTACATGCTAGCAACTGCAACAGATAGAATTGCACACTGAAAGGCCTAACCGGCACTCTAAAGAAACTAAAGTATTTTCGGCGACTGAGTAAGAAGAATAGGTACAGTGATGGTAAAGCTACATGGTCCTATTTCTAGAACTAGGAACCTCGCTGGGGGAAGAAGGTGCTGTCCAAGAAGGAGAGTGCATAGCAGGGAAAGCAAAGACTTCTTGGTTAAGATTGGCAGTCATTGTTGGCCAGTAGTCCATGTCTAGGTGTTGGGCATTTAGCATCTTTCCGTAACAGCTGCCGGGCACCAAATAACTGCGCTGGAGTACTTGTGTAGTGTCAGTCGCCATCACATGGGCATGGAAATCAATCTGCGGCCATGAAAGAGGCAGTTGGGAAGCATTCAATCTTTCTGTTGAAACCGGAGCCTAAAGAAAAGACATCACAGAATATCTTTCTTAGTTAGCACCAACCTTTTTGAACCTGAGCATTAAAGACGCATAAAATCATCATCACAAACTTCAGTCATCATTCAATTTACTCATCCTCTTGTCATTGCAAACCTGTATGAATCCATATAATAGATTTTTTGAAGAATTTTATTGCATCACGAGGGTGAGTAAATAATGTCAGAATGTTCATTTTCATACCCTTTAACATTTGGTAAGGGAGTATTTTAATATTCTCACCTCTATAGAGCTCCAGATCCTGGATCGGGTCAGTTGCCGTGGTCTTAGACTGAGGGATTGTGAGCGTGAAGGATCCCTTACCCCTTCTGCCCAGTTATCCATGAGTCTCTGAAGCTGCTGTGTGAATGCATCATCTGTCTTGTTGTTGCTGTTATTAGTCTGTGCTTGGGCGAGACCAATTGGCTGGTGAGGAGGAGGAGTTGATCCAGGAGGCATTGTGGACTGATTAGAGGCAGCTGATGGTGCTCCAGATCCTATGAAACAAGTTGGTTTGAGATGTATGAATAGCACAAAAAGAGCTGAAATGCAATCCATACCTTCTTTGATTGTATTAAATGGTTAGTTCACCCAAAAATGGCAATTCTGTCATCATTTAATCACCCTTGTGTTGTTCCAAACCCATAAGACTTCCCTTCATCTTCAGAACACAAATTAAGATATTTTTGAATAAAATCTGAGCCAGTTCTGTACTCCATTGACAGCTATGTAACTACCACTTTGACGCTTCACAAAGTTCACAAAGAGAACGTAAAAATAATCCATATGAATTGAGCGGTTTAGTCCAAATTTTCTGATGAGACACGATCGCTTTATATGATGAACAGATTGAATTTAGACTTTTATTTAACATTGATCACCAAACAGAAACAGAAGCTCAACCAAACCTACTTGAGGTGCAAGAACAAACTTCATTGGTTCTTGAGAAAGTTCAAGCATGATGCGTAACACGAGAATGGACCTCATTGGTTTTCGCACATCAAGTGGACATGCTTGAGCTTCCGTTTACCACAAATGATGTGTGCTTTGATGAATGTTTATATGTGAATAAAAGCATAAAATAAATCTGTTCAGTGTATAAAGCGACCATGTCTCTTCAGAAAATATTTGTGTCTCTTTAAAAAATTAAACAATAAAAATCACTGAGATGTTATTAAAAATATCTTCATTTGTGTTCCGAAGATGAACGAAAGCCTCGGAACAACATGAGGGTGAGAAATGAATGACAGATTTTTCATTTTTGAGTGAACTAACCTTAAAATAATTTATTTAACTATAAATAGATTATTAATAAACCTCTAAAATGAAGTAAAACTAGTCAACTGTGCCAAAAACGAGATAAATACTCAGATGCAAATGCTTGGCCAACATATAGCAAATGTGTGTCCAATTATACATAGCTGACAACTGCAGAAACAAGTACTCAAGGGAGTGATAGAGAACTAAATCTGCCCTTTTGAGAACACAGAGAATGTGATATTTGAGGTGTTATGAACTGTGAGCTGAGACTTTTTGAACTGCAACTCTAAGAAATTGAACTTGGATAGAAACATTTGCGTTCATATACTTTATTAAATATGTTTTAGGCCTATGCTATTATGGTGGTTGTAATATGTCCATAAAGTGAAATTTAGTTTTTTATATCCCATATAACAGTTGGAGTAACAGTGTCAAGGTTTCAGCTGAGGCAAATTGTATTTTAAAAGTCTAAAGTGTTGAAATTAAGAAAAGACAATACTTACTGCTGCCACGTTCTTTACCCAGACACAGGCGTTTAAGGGTTGACCCTACAAAAAGAAAAGTTCAAGTTAGTTTGATGGAGAAAATCGCTGCACACAGAGACATATAAAGAGGTGGAACATATCATTTATTGTTTAAAAGTTAGAACTGAAATAAAAGGGTAAGCTATTACAAATCAAAGTAACACTGAAAATAGAAAGGAAATAACATTGTGAACATGGTTTAAAGTCACAGTGTTGGTTTTAGGCTTGCAAAAGTTCAATTAAAGTGAGATTAATACTGTCAAGCTGCGCAACTAGTTAAAGTATCTAGAAGCATCATTGGCATAAAAAACAGACAATTGAATAAAACAGAATTTTGTTGGGATAAACAAAGGATAGAAAGAATCAGGTAAGAAAAAACACAGGATGAAAAAACAGGATTAATTAAAGATGAAGCATGAATACTGATAAATAATTGATAGAAGAGAAGAACAGAGTGGGAGAAAGTTGGCAGGGGCTCCCAAGATATGACATGGAAAATGGTGGAAAGGAGAGAGATACAAACAGATGGACAGAGAAACAGGCCCACTGAGGAATCTAGCGCGTGGTTTACTGCTGGATTTATAGGTGACCTGTGCAGACGCCTGGGGAGAAGGAGGCCAGCCTGCGGACAGAAGTGCAGAGGTGGGAGAAAGAGTAAGAAAAAAAACAAAACCCATTATTTTAATGGATTCATAAATCTGGCTGTAATTCAACTTAATGTCAAAGCATCCATGTAAAAGCCCCATTGAATTTGCTTGACTTTAATTTTCGCCTTGAGGATTCTATAAACCACTTAAAGAAACAGGATTTCATGGAAAATTGTACATATGCATGTCTAAAATTTCATAAATTTATCAATGTAATCACCAGCAGCCATATCACCCTGTAGCCCAAGACTGGTTGCCCACTGAAGCTAAGCAGGGCTGAGCCTGGTCAGTATCTGGATGGGAGATCTCCTGGGAAAACTAGGTTGCTGCTGGAAGAGGTGTTAGTGAGGCCAGAAGGGGGCGCTCACCCTGTGGTCTGTGTGAGACCTAACGCCCCAGTATAGTGATGGGGACACTATACTTTTTGTACAGTCCTTCGGATGAGACGTTAAACAGAGGTCCTGACTCTCTGTGGTCATTAAAAATCCCAGGATGTCCTTCGAAAAAAGAGAAGGGATGTAACCCCGGCATCCATGCCAAATTTGCCCATTGGCCTCGATCCATCATGGCCTCCTAATCATCCCCATATACTGATTGGCTCTATTACTCTGTCTCCTCTCCACCAATAAGCTGGTGTGTGGTGCAATATGGCCACCGTCGCATCATCCAGGTGGATGCTGCACATTGGTTGAGGAGATTCCCTCCTTCTATGTAAAGCGCTTTGAGTACCCAGAAAAGCGCTATATAAACGTAACAAATTATTATTATTAATTTAATGCCAATTTCACCTGATATTTTTCTTTCAATGCAGGTGGGTGATCAAATTATATTGACTAGATAATCTTCTAAAATCAATCAATCATTCAAGGTTTGCTACAAAGCCAGACTGCTGGGAAATCAGAGTTAAAGTCACCTTGGGCTGGCTGGCTGGGCGGCCCATGTCCTTCTCCCTGTAGACCAGAGTAGATGTTGTCGGAGGAGAGAGATCCTTTGAGAGAGCAGGGCTGTTGGGTCTGAACCGGCTCAGACACAGAACAAGGCAGAGTCCCGGTCCCAGAGTAAGCCCTGCCATCTGACAAGTTGGAAGCCCTAGCAGGAGACCCATTCAAGCTCAGGGCAGCTTCAGCTGGAAGAGAAAATGAGATAGAATCCAAATGTTAAGGTACTTTATTAATGTCTTTATTATGTATGGAGATATTTGAACACTCCAACTAACCTGATTTTGTTAAATCATTAGGTTTGCTGGAGTCGCTAGTTTTAGAGGCAACATTTCTCAGCTGTTGTACTAGAGGACTGAGCAGTTTGCCAGCTTTTAGTTTGTGCCTGCTGGTCTTGCGCTTGCGTCCAGCAGGGGGTGCTGTGGGCGGGATGTAAAGACCTGGAGGGGGTGGTTTCCCTAATCTCATATAGAGAAGCTCGACCTCTTCTCTGTGATTGGCCTCCAATTCGGTTATCTCTTTCATGTGCCTGTACAAAGATGAAGCAAGGAATGGTGAGTCGTTTTTATTTTGCTCTGATTACTTTTTTTCCATCATAAATACACACAAGGACACTTGATAAACTCACTTTTCTCTTAGTCTTTGAAGCTCCTTCTTTATATCGGAATCCTCCATCTCGGAGTCGTTGTCACTGCTGACATAGGATCCATACACCCCTCCCTTTCTGCTTGGCGAATCAGAGCTTTGCACACTGCTGCTGCGGCCGGAGCGCTTTAGAAAAGCCACCGCCCTTTTCATGAGGTCACTTCCTCTCCTTTCAGACCTCCCATGGCGGGACGGGGTTGTAGGTGCCATTTTGGCGGGGCTGCTCTCTGCCCCAGAGTCAGAAGACATGAAGCGAGTGTGAACGGTGACATCCGCTGAGACTGAGGTCTGTGCCCTTGGCAGAGAGCCTCGTTTGGTCAGGGGAGGTGGGGCGTCTAGATAAAAGTCAGGTGGGGCCGAATATCTGCTGCTGAGCTTTCTGCGCGTGACCTCATCTTCTGTGCTGACAACTGAGAACCTGCCGACAGTGGTGGCAGAAGCAGTCGGCTCTTCGTACACGGCACATTCTCCTAAAAAGCCACCAGGGTGCGCTGGAGATGCTGTGCTGCTCAGGCTGCGCTGCTTTCGACCTTGACCTGACAGGATGTCAGTGGAGCTAGGCATCATCTAATCCAGAGTAATCAAACAAAATAAGAAGACAAAATACTGATATGACAATATGACAAAATATTTCATATTTACAACCTTTATCTCAAAGAATAAATATCTGGGGGAAAAATGGACTAACTCGATGTGGGCACCTAGATTATTAAACTGGAAATAAACTCTATTTTTCTGCAGAAATCAGCTGTACATAATGTACCTTATATCGACTTCTAGATCCAGAGCAAGAGGCAGAGTGTGGCATCACGTGTCTCCTTGACACAGTAACTGTGGATAAAGATGGCTTTATTCAAGGAGTTCTTATTGTTTGTAAATGATACATTTTTCTTGAAGAACGTTTCTCTTGAGAAAAAAATAAGATAAAAAGTATCATCTAACCTCCAACGGCAGAGTCACTGAGAGCACTTAAACTGTCCACACGCTCTGGAATCTGTGGCTAAAAGGCAAAAAGCAAATGTTTTTAGGTGGTGATCCATCAAACACAATCCTAACTTCTAAATACCCTCAAACAAAAAAAAAAAAAAGTAAGACATGCTGAAAATTAGGGAATAGCTATTGGTAATAGCCATAGGTAAGATCGTAGAAAAATGTAAATACTTACCCATGCCCCATACCTAATAACCAGATTTTATTTAAAAATCCTGGGACTGTCTATAAAAAAAAACATAAAATGGCAGATGGAGCTTAAACTTACCAACTGCTCTCCTGCTCTGAATCGTCCCTCTCCCATAAGACTAGGTGTGCTGGTTCCTGACCCTCCCAACGCACACTCTGGTCCTGGTGGGGATTGGATATACTCTGTGCCAGATCCTGGAGTTTCAGCAGCACTTCCCGATGGGTACATGGGAGCGTACTCTTGATACAGTAAATTCCTCAGTTTCTCATCCAGTGTCTTGATAGTGCTGTCTACAAACCCTCCTCTGCCACGCCCCTCTCCATCTGATTCACTGGGAACAAAGTGGTGCTGGGAAGGAGCAGGGCTTTGGGGCAGGGAAGGTGCCTTAGTTCCACTCACAGTGGACACAGGCTGCTGCAACACCACAGGCTGCTGGGCACGTTCCACTCGACTAGATGTAATGGAGTGGAGTTGTTCGCGAGCAGACGTAGTGTCTTGTGATTGTGGTGGCACCACAGAGGATGATCTCTGAGCCCCACTGCTCACTTCTAGGGACAGCGGCATGACCAAGGGACAGCAGGGCACGTCCTCCACCATGGAGACAGCACATGCAATTTCAGCCATCTGCTGAGCAGCGTGCATAGGGGAGACAGAGCCTAATCTGCCACTCTGGGTCTCATCCACAAAAACAGAACTTTGAGGATCCATGCATGGCTGGGATTGCTGCACATTGACCGGGGCGGAGCCTAAATTTGGCATTTCCTCTGAATGGGAAGCAGACCGAGCTGGCATTACAGCGGCTTGCGGAGCAGGGGGGGCTTGGGAAAGAGCAGCCAGAGCAAAAGGATCAGTAGTGGTCAAAGAGAGGGGGCTCCAAACCCCATAGGGATCACTTCCTCCTGATGGAGGTGCTGTGGCACAGGCTTCTGAATCTGTGGAATGAAAGACATAAAATGTAACAAAACATAACGAACAGACATCTATAGCCCCTTTCACACAGAGATTCCGGAAAATACACGGATAAAGTGACCCGGGATTTGACCCGGGTTCGTTGGATTTTGCTTCATTCACACTGCCAGTGATTTGCCAGAATCAGAGAGCGCGTTCACACACAACCCGTGTATGTTCCGGAGAGACGCGTGACGTTGGATGTGACGGGTCTCTACTTTAGTCCAGTTTGCAGACATTTTTTCGTTCTTCCTTGTATCGATGACGAACACAAACTTTCTTCTTGAGTAACTGAGTCGCACGATAACTACGTCATTGCAAAGGCTTGTGAATCATTACTACGACACACCCCTTATACGGCATTGGTTCTGGCTTTTGTTCACACAGCGCGCGTTCCGGGTCTGAACACGGCAATGTTACTAGGTCCCCAACCCGGCATCGATCCCGGCATCAATCCCGGGTCGTGTTTGCGTTCACACAGAAGGCACTCTGGCAATTTGCCGGCAATTTGCCGGGTTCAAAGCGCTGTGTGAAAGGGGCTTATTTTACTCTTTTTGATAGGAGTAGGGCTGTGACGACACAATAATGACTCTGACCAATCACAATATCGCAGAGAATTTTTAAAACCTATTATTTTTCTATAAGCACAAACTCTGAAAGCAGCATTTCACAGCTTGATTAGAGACTAGAGTTTTGAAGCAAACCTCATAACAGAGAATGAAACTGATTCCACAGTTTCACACTCTCTCATGAACAAGCTGGGTCTCTCTTGCTCAATCCCAGTCTGATTATGATATTGTGATGCATCAAGTTCATTGAATCAGTTAATCTTTCTGTGAGGTATTTTGCAATAATCAGCCCTGTATCTGGCAGTTCATTACTCCTTCCAATATTTCCTTGCATCTGTATCAGTTACACTAAGTTGTGTCATAGCCAGACATTACCCATGGATGCTGAAGCAGATCCTGTGCTGGGTTCAGGAGGATGGGCTGAAGCACTCTCACCAGGCTGAGCAGTGGCTGTCCCATCAGTTATTGTTGTTGTGGATGGGGATTGTGTAGATGGACCTCCATCTGAGGATGCGTCCCGACTGGCAGCAGGAGCCTCTTCCACAGGGCAGATGATGAACCACCTCTTACCCGTGTGCAGAACTGAGCAAAGGAAAAGAACATTGATACATTCATACTTTAGCAAACATTTGGCGAGCATGAATTTTAAATTCGCCAATTATAGGAGGACGAAAGTTTACCATTTTGCTGATACACTGGCTGGGGAGCCCCGGGTTGCTGTCCATTTATTCCCTGGAAAATAATAGAAGGAGACTGTAAGTATAATTCAATTTAGTGATATTCAGTATGTGAATTAAATTCAATATTTAAGATGCTAAAAGTTTTGAAATTACTGTATTACCTCTCCCCCTTCATCTCCAGGAGTTTGTCCTTGCAAATGATTTTTCCCAAAATCTGATATCTTCTCTCCATCCATGTCCTCGCTTAGAATGTCTTCTGCCTTGTCGACAATGTCTTTAAGTTGATCGATAAAAATCTCCTTTTCTATTGGTAGAATAAAGCCATTTTCCACCTGGTACACAAATAAGAGAAGAAAAAAAATCTGCAAGGTTGCACAGAAAAGGAATTCTTTGTGAACAGGTAATTAAATAAAACAGCTTTACGCACAAGACAATCTGATGTTAGACTACAAATCTAAGCTAAATTTGAAATCTTGAGCACTACAATTTCCACGCAGATCATTAATCTCACCATATAAGTGGCTATTTCTTCAGGTGCATCTCCGTCTAGGTCAAATTTGAAAGTCACCATTTTATGATTGTGTGTCTCCAGCTGGCATTCCACCATCTTGTCACCTGTATTACTAACCTGAATGTAAACGGACGTTTTAGAAGGCAATCACAAAATAAAAACAATTATATTTTAAAAAGAAGACATTTTTAATCCTTACATTTAGCATGTTTAGCTTTGGCTTGTTAACTTTTTCCTGGCGTGAGCGCGTTCGAGCAGATTTGCGGTGGTGCTTTCTGGGTTTGCCATCACCCTTTCCTCCACCAGTGGGTCCTTCAAAGCTGTCACTTATTTCTTTACCAGATGCATCTTGGTTTAGGCTAGACAAACAAAACAGAATAACCTGAAGTTTAAAAAGCATTCTAGGACACAATTTGAGATGATTGCTACCGTTTTGATGTATTGTATCTGCCACTATAAGCAGTCCAGATATACACATTGTAAATGATATAATTAAAGAATTACATAATGGCTGACTTCATTTAGGTATGCAATTCTCATTGTTTTCAGAGAAAAACAACTTATTCCTACCTGTCACATACAAAACTATGGAGCGGAATAGATACAGGTGCCTGTAAGGAAACAGAATTATTGAAATGATCTACGTGGGACTTTGTTTGATGAATACATATAATAGTCAGGTAAAGGATGTTGTTTATGCTTAATGTTACCTCGGTGTTAGGCTGAAATGGGGTGGGCTCTAGCGCAGGAGGAATTGGCATTGAAGCCGTGTCTGCTGTTTGCTGAGTTGTACTGGGCATGCCAACACTCTCAGGAACAGCATATCCTGTGTGTATGCCAAAAGGCTGCAGAGGAGGCTCCACAGTCTCAGGTAGGGCTTGGACAGTGGTAAACTTTGTCTCTGACTGCCTGTCCTGTATAGACTGGATCTGCGACAGAATGGTGTGAGATGGGGTCAGGATCTGCAATTCCTCGTGGCGAGGGTACTCCAGTTGAAAACATTTTAGACCTCAATTATTACTGAATAGCATTAATTATCCCGAAATTATTGCTATGACAAGGTACCAATTCCGATTAATGTACTGCCATTCTGCTGTCCCTCCCAAAGTAATTACTGAGCTTCAACAATTATGTGATCAAAGAAATTATTTTGATTTGCATTCCCAATACATAAATCAATCCTTGCTCAAAGCAGGAAAGAAACCACAGCATTTACCTCCGTAAAAGTTTCAGAAATAGATGGGTCTTGCTGAGGGAGGGGAAGGGAGGGTTGTGTTGGCTGGGGTAGAGGTTGCAAAATGGCACCTTCTGGTGGTGGAACTGGGTAGTACATCTGCTGCAGATGTTGCTCAGGAGGAAGCATTTGTGGGGACAGGGCCATAGCCAGGAGAGGTATAGGGGTAGGAACATTCAGAGGGGTGGAGACAGGTGTGCCTGCTCCTAGCATGCAGGATACATTCTGCATAGATAGTGTGGGAGGAGGAGCACTGATAGGGCTTAATGAGTAGTAGGGAGAGGAGACAGGATGGGCATTTGTGGGATAGGAAGAAGAGTAAGAGATTGAGGAGAAAGGTATTGGCTCTGTCCCTGCAGATGTGCCCCCTTCTGGCAAAAGAGGATATGCCGAAGGAAACTAAAGAATAAAGAGCAAGATAAAAACGTAAACAGCCAGAGGTAAACTATGAAAGCTACATATTTGCATGTAGAATTAAGAAAATACCTTGACTTTGTTTAACCATCTAGAGTTAAACAAATTTCACCCTTGCTAAAGAATGTACTTGTTGCGATATCCGAATAAAGGTGTTGCACACATAGGTTTCATTAACTGACCTGTGTGGCGATTTGTAGAGGCTGGAGAAGGGGTGTCTGAACATTTAGCTGTGGTTGTGGAGGAAGAGTAGCGGTGCTGAGCATTGAAGATCCTGACTGTAATAGATGCTGTGGAATGAACTGAGCATCTGAAGATGGCAGCACTAGGGGCTGAAGAGATGATAAAGTCTGGAAAAGACAAAGAGAGAAAAAATAAATAAAAAACATTTGGACGCCTAAATGAATTCAGCAATCATGTAATTCTTTAATTCTTTAATTTCAATGAGTTTATCTCACCTGCTTATAGTGGCAGATACAACACAATGCATTAAAAACGTAGCAATAGTCTCAGATTGTCTCCTAGCATAACAAGTAAAACTAATTTCGAGGAACACTTACTCAACAGTTCCCAAAGATAACGATGACAAGATAACGATGGCAAATATCTTTATCTCCAACTAAATTGGTGGTAAAACTGAATTTATTCATTGTTTAGCAGACTTTTAATAATCTGATACATTTATGGCATGACTGAAACCAAAATCCTGTGACTGTGAGGATATTTATACAGATAGTGTCTACCTGAGGCTGGAAAGCTTCAGGATGGAAATAAAGGTGAAACTGAGAGAAATACAAAGACAAGGAAGAACAAAATTCTAAATTAATCTAGGAAACTATCACTTTGCTAGCACACAGGCATGCATCCATCCTCATTTAAGGGAAGACGAACCAATAGCAGCCTTACCTCCTGTGCTACGAGGGCAGAGGCATGAATGCTCTGTGGACGAGCATGTGGTACAGGAGTAGCTGGAGCAGAGACGGTCTTAGATGAAACCAATTGTGTGGAAGGCTGAAAAACACATGCACAAAAACAAATATTAATATAGGAACATTTGCCATTAAGGATTTAAAAGCCAATGGCAGTTCTTCAAGATATTTGCAGGACAGTAACTCCAGCATACAGTTTGATGTGACAGGTAAATTAGCAGCAACTGACAGGGAACAAAAGGGGAAATGTGTGACATCAACTCTACACACAGGGGGATGTTGCTTTAAAAGGGACCACGCACAGAGTGACAGGGATAATTTGCGGTGTTGCAGTAGCAGTCATTTATAGTACAGTGGCATATTCTAGCAGTCTTTCAAGAGACTGTGCCCTTCAAAAGAACATAATAGTTCCTTGAAGATGGTCTCATTTCTTATTCTTTTGGAAATAGCAGTGATGAGAGAAAATTGATTCAGTTTATTTTCAGTATGAAGTATACAATTTACATACAGATGAGCATAAAACTAGGAGGGATTGGCATTTATGAGAAATACCACATATTCTGGAAGCAACATTTTTCAAAGAATGTGAAGAAGCTTGGAAAGCATGGGTGAGGCAAAAGCGATTTCTCTTGTTTCTAGATTTCTCTGCCGGGATCATAGCTAGTACATTTTATTTTTAACCTACCACAAGACCTGGTCCAACTTCACTGTCCTGCACAGAAAAAGCCCCTTGTTCCAGATGTGATAGGGGTACACACAAAGCGCTTACGCTTTGGAATTGAGGTACATGGAACTTGTGAACACAAGCATCACTGTGGCCATCTCCAGGAGGTGCTCTGTCAGTCAAGACAGGGGAACTGGTACGCCGATTGATGATATGATGTAGACAGCGATCGAGGTGAGACAAATCTGAGCTGTCTCCCAAACTATGAGAATGTGGCCCGATCAAGGAGATAGGTGAAACTGGAGATGATGACTTGAGTGGGGAAGTTGAATTAACTGGTAAAGATATAGACATATGTCTGGGAGACATGTGAACTGGTGAGGGTATAGATATATAGACAGGGGGAAAGGCAATGCTATGGTTTAGTGGTGACATGTTAGGCACATGAGTTGTCACAGGAATCTGTGCAGGAGAATGGCATTTATGGACTGGAGAGGGTGGGGTGACTTGAACTGGTATTGAACTTGATGTGTTCTCAAGAACAGAAACTTGCTTTGCAGGCAGTGTAGACGTATATGGAGACTGTGGGGTCATATAAATTGGTGAGCTGGAGTCTGAATGAGCCAAATCAGGTGAGAATGATGGTTTTAATGAGGAAACATATGGCATATTTTGGTGGATATGGGAGGAAGAGGGTGAAGAGGCATGACCGAGAGACCCTCGACCCCCTGACCTTACAGCCAGCAACAGTGCCCTACAAGCCTGGCAGTAATGTGGGTGGACATCAGAGTTCCTCCGACTGAATGACATTGTCTGGGACTGTGAATTCATTTTTACCTGCTGTGAACTATATTCATAGGTGTCTTTAGAAACATTATTTGGTGCCTGGTCATAATTTGTGATGGATGAAGACACAGTAAAGTCACTTGTAGACAGCGACTGATTTATTTCATCCCTAGAACTTGCTTCAGGTTTGGGACAGCTATAAGTCTGATGATGCAGCGGCTCTAACAAATCCTGTAGGTCAGTTCTCCTCTGTAATGTGTCAAGGTATGAAGTGCTGCAACGTCTGGTCCCCGCCAAGTTATCAGAGAATAGCAAAGCTCTTTGGAAGTCACCAGGAATACTGCCATGTCGCTGCTCATTCAGTCACAGTATGAGAAAAAGACACATTTTTTAAAATTCAGACAGTCATAAAAAACATAGTGCTAAGGGAAGAAATGAATGGGAATTAAGATGGTGGCTTTAGAGTTTTACTACAAAGTAAAGCTCAACTGCAACGACGAGGCAAATTTAAGTATGAACTTACAGGTGATGGCTGGTAAGAGCTCTGATGCAGGTGTACCGAAGACTGCTGAAAAGCCCCTTGATGTAGCTGATGAGCTGACTGCTGATATTGCTGGTGCAGCTGAATGGTGGGTTGTTGCTGGGGTGCTTGTGGCACCAAACCATGGGCCTGTGCTTGTGTAACCTGGTGCAGGGGACCACTAGGCTGTTGTTGGGCTCCCTGGGTTTGCTGAGGACTAGGTTGTTGCTGGGCCCCGTGGAGTAACTGGCCTACGGTTTGTTGTGGGACACCTTGATGCATTTGTAGAGAAGGTTGTTGTTGAGTCCCCAGAGGCGGGTGTGCAGTAGATGGCTGTTGGGTACTCTGTGGCAATTGAGTCAGAAGCTGTGCTGGAGGGCTTAAGACCATTTGGCCAGTGGAAATGGACTCCGAAAGGGACTGCTGAGAGGTGCTGTCTTGGTTGTCTGAATGGCCTGTTATCATTATTGAGCCTGAACTGCTGTCTGCAAACAACACAAAGTGCAAACACAAGTTATTGAAGCAAGTAAAATTTTGGCATATCTGTGTTATGCAAGTTATACAAAAGAAATGATTAAACTAAATAACTAACATAATATAATATGATCAAGTGAAATACTGTACATTACATTTTATTGGTTATGTGGATATTGCTAATAGACCCATTTACACAAAGAAGAATTTAAAGTCATTGGGAAAAAAAACTTTAGCATCTTTTGTGTGGATATCTCAACATCTAGTTGTCTCTCACGTGTAGCTGTAGTCGCACTAGTCGGGGCACTGCAGACCAGGCTGACTGCTTCAGTCTGTAGTTCCTCAGTTTCGGATGGAAGACTGGGTGGTCCACCCAATGGTGGCCCTGTGGAGGGCACCTGAAGGAGATTCTGTGCCTCAGTCTTGGTGATGCTCTCTTCTGTTTTTCCATTACGGCCTAAGACAATCCGCTGCCGTCTCCACTTTATTAGAGACACGCGGTCACGGATAGACTTACCCACAATCTTCACATCAATCTCTAAAAAGAAGCCAGAATCCACCTGCCAGAAAAGATCATTGAACAACTCTGAAGTAATGAATTTTACTTCTTGACATTCTGAATATGTATTCCAAATCACAAGTATGTTATGCATATGTTAAAAAGTGTTGCATTTCTAAAAATCCCATTTGTTTACCATTTCCTGGGCAACTGTTTCTGGGACTTCAGTCTCCAGGTCAAAGGTGAACTCGATAGCACCACTGTCTTTATACTTTCCCTTAAGTTTTTTCTGGTCTTCAACCCAAAGCCTCAGAGCAATGGAAGACTTCTTGCCGTCATCCTCTTCAGCCAGCTCTACTCTCACACCTGTGTCCTCCGCAAAGAATGCATGGTTTAGTAAGTCCTTTATGGAGTACCTTTAAGGAGAGAAAGATGTGATTTAGTTTGAAAAGAGCTGAAAAACAAGTCTGACATCTGAAGGACTATAAGCAATTCTACGATGTTGCTGTAGTAAATGGTATGAGCCATTTAACTGATTGATGATCCATGCAGGCAATTTACAATCAGATACATTTAATAACCAGGGGAGAATTGATGTCGTTAGCAGGGTTCAAATTACTGTAAAGCGTATAAGTTAAATAAAGTCACAGCTATCCAAGAAAAGGTTGTCTGATCATACAACAAGTGCCACATCTGAAAGGAGCAGAGGCTTTGCCATAAAGAACCATAATCTAATCTTTATGGTAATGTGACAGGAGACTGTTCAGCTGATGGACTCACCTTTCCTCCCAGCGATGGCAGATACACTCTCCAATGATTTCTTTTATTTCAGGCACGGCCACCTTAATGAAACTGGCTGGCTTCACACCCTGTGCAGAAAATGAATAAGGAACCCGACACACACACAAACACATTGTTGTTTCATTAAAAAATCTTAGAGTGAAAGAAAATTTTACAGCAGAAAAATGTTGAGTTTCAAAGGAAACATTTTCTTTATACTGACTGCAACTACAAGAACATGACATTATACCACTGAATTATTATCTACATAAATTGTAGGTAAAATCAGTTGTACGTACATTATGCCATTGAACTGACTGTGAAAATATATCAATGCATTTATGAACATTTTCATGAATAAGTCCCTCTACAGCATTTTAACTTAAATAATATTCCATTCTGAAAATATAAATGTTGGGTCAGTGAGAAGCAGTTTGCTCAAACTTACACTAGTGACTTTGCGATAGATTTGTGCTGCATTTTGGCACTCTGAGTATGGATACTCAGATGTGGCCATTTCTAGCATACACATCCCAAATGCATACACATCTACGGCTTCATCATAGTGCTCCTCGTACATCTCAGGGGCCATAAACTCTGGAGTGCCTAAAAGAGGAAGAAAACATTAATTTAATTTAAAATTATACATAACAAGCTACAATCTACATCATCTAAACTTGCTGTTGAAATTTTGTATTCAATATAGCCTAATCTGTTAAATCTCATCATTACCTATTACACTTTTGGCAAAAGAAGCTCTCTTTAGTGTGGCCAGGCCAAGATCTCCGATCTTGACTGAGCCTGTAGGACCAGTGATGAAGATATTGTCACACTTCAGGTCTCGATGTATAATGGGAGGGGTCCTCGTATGGAGGAAGTGAAGACCTTTTAGGATCTGTCGGCACCAGCTTCGTAAGACTTTTGGTTTCATCACCTTGAATCGCTTCAGATACCTACATATTAACAGAAACCGGGTTAGAGATCATTGTGTTTGACTCTTCAGTCTTCACCAATCTCAATATCACAAAATCTGCTACATTTTCAGGAGCATGTCATATTATTGGGCAAGTTGTCATCAGGGCAGATCTACTGTACATTACTCGGTGTCCCATAGCAAGCAACCTAAATCTTAACCAAGATTTCAATGCTTTACTATAATCTATATTCTATACCAAGTAAGTTACTTCCCCATGTGTGATAGCATCAGCTGTTGCATGTCTTTGTTTAATGTGACTCACGTTTTTAGTGTTCCAGATGTCATCAGTTCGGTGACTAAAACAATGCACTTCTTCCCCTTAACAGGAGATTCCCAAAAGTCATAGAAGCGCACAATGTTTGGATGCTGAAGACCTTTTAGCATCTCTGCCTCCTCTTTAAACCTCTGACGTTCCGCTTTCGACAGCTTACGATCCTGGATAGGCAAGGTGTTTAAGGTGTCAGGCATATGGCAGGAGAAAAGTAAGAGAGACAGATGAACAGGTGGGAAGAGAAATAGATTCATAAACAAACATATGGTAACTCAATTATCCTCCTTTCAGTGAAAAGAGAGCTATATAAAATAAATAACTCTGTCTTGACCAGTGAAAGACGTGTGTTCTGAAGACATTTAAGTCAATCTTTATTGATTTAATGCGCACATTCCCTGTAATAGCTTTCTAAGGATAGACTATATCTGTTGTATTGTATTTTTGAATTTGTGTGGTCGTGGGGGTGGGGACAATGTCTCTAAACATGATATGACTAAGAAAGTCAAGAAGAAGATCAGAGGCAGGAAAGTGATAAGAAAACAACAACTACACTACAGTTAAAGCGTATTGATGCAACATAAAAGGCAAAATATGCAAGCTCCTCACTGTGAGAGATGAGTGATTAACATATTGTAGTCCTTTGATATGGAGTACAAGGCGGAAAATATAATTAACACAAACAGCATAATTAAAAAAAAAACATTTTGTATTGGGGTTTGTCAAATAAACTTAGTAGAACTGAAACAACATGAAATTCACCCAAAGTCTCTTTATTCAGTGTACAAAATAGAACTGTTAGAGAGGTACAGTTGGGCTTAAACTGGTGTGTACAGCAGTTATGCTAGGCTTGAAAATGCTACAGTTACAGAGTCATTGGTGGTTCAAGTTCTAGTGTGTATCTATGGTCAAGAAGCTGACCAAATCAATACCTTTGCATCTGCTCTCTTCCTGCTTCTATATTTGCTAAACGCTGACAGGGAGTATCTGTAACATCTCTGTCCCTCACAATCAGTCAATGTGCAACCCCATAAAACCTCTTGAGACCCACCCCCACACTGCACCATCTAACACCTCACATGAACTCAGGGACACACAGAGGCTCATATATTATTCGACCTCCCCCTATTCTTAATTTTCCATCTAATTTACTCTATAGTCTACAGTCAGTTCAGACCAAACATGATTCCTAGGTTGTTTCTATCAGAGTGACTAACAAATAAGAAAAAAGCATATGCCGTGATAAGGGAATTTTATAGTCAAATATGTTAATAGCTTGTAATATTATCCCAATCTTTCATTACATTTCTAATAAAATTTAAACACACAAATTAAACACGGTGACATTGATTACTTTCAGAGGTGTGCTACATCAAAATCTCTCACAAAAGGAAAAGCTTTTTGCTTTATGCATGGCCAGGGAGTGGCACTAAGATCTTTTCCTGAGATGTGTCTTGGATGAAGACTCCATCACACACACAGATAACAGTTTTGTTCATACATACTGTCAGCTCCTGATGCATCCCTGTCAGATAAATGAGGTTGGGCGTTCAGCTGTAAAATGGTCCATTAGGAATATCTTTATATTGTCTTGAGAACGCTACTGTGAGGGAAGCCATGTTTAGTACACAGCCATCTTCACCTCATCTGACCTGTTCCTCTGTCTCTCCCTTGCTCGCTCTCCTCCCTCCTTGCAGATTTGGGAGCCTCAGCTATTTTTGTCTATGCAGTCTGGGAACTATTTGCATCCCTAACTCTATCCATGTGATTTTAAGATTCATAAAGCAGGATGAATCCTCCTAACCAAAACTGACAGCATGCCCCAAACAATAGCTGTAGTACATACAGTAACACAGTAGCAAGCATCGCCCACACATAGAAACAAAAACCAGAGCATCCTCGGCTCGTGTATAACATCAGAACTCCAGAGATCATAACTGCCTAGTCATCCTTCCATGGACAGTGAATGCACAATTTATCTTTTGTTCCCAAAATGAAAATAAGCTTAGCAAGTAGTCCATGAAGTATTGCTTAATATTATAAAGGGCAAATGTGTATTATTTATGTAAGAAATTATGCATCCTAAAAATTGTTGTCTGTTTTATGTGTTGTTTATGGTTTAGACCTGAAAAATATGTTTGTGTGTGTACTGTGTATATATATATATATAGAGAGAGAGAGAGAGAGAGAGAGAGAGAGAGAACACTACGAGACACTGTGTGATAACACTGCACTGTTGCATCATTTCAGCAGAGGTAAGTGCACATGACCAGAGCTTGTCACATGACCCGTATGCAGAGGGACTGATCCTCCAGGGATGTGCATCGCTGCTCTCCAGAGTTTGTTTGTGTCCCCTCCCTTCAGCATTTCTACTGTAAATGTCTACTGGGATATTTTAGTGAGCTCTGATATATATTAAAAGCTTTGGCACAGGCTAGAAGCAGCACAAAGCTGTTTGCAAGAGGAATTACGGCACAGTCAAAATAACACTCTCACTCAACATAATCGGGTTCTTTAAATATTTCAGAAACATTTTAACACTAAGCATTCTCAGATGAACTCAGCTGAACCTCAAATGATTCTAGACATTGACAACACACGGAAACACTATTAAACAAAGGAAATCTGATATAGAATTGGTCATGGCGATTCAATCTCTCCATTTTACAATCAATAGTGCTGATAAAAGGAAGAAGTCATATCAGATGACCCGGCAAACGTACAGGGAGAAAGCATTTTGAATGGCAACAGGATCAATCAGAAAAATATAGTCTTTGTTTTTATTAACAAATTTAAACCAACTACATTTTAGTTTTTACTTCTAGATCCTACACATCTAGAGCTTAGCCAAGTCATTACACCATTACACCTGACACTATTTTCTACAATTACAAGAAAGAAAAAGCCTTTATGGAAACAGCCTGAGAGGAGGCCAACAGGAGTCCTACTATGCAAACATTGCAAGACCTGAAATGCCAGTGGTTCAATTTCAGAATGTGTACAGTATCTGTTTTCTTACCTGAAGTTCACACCAGGCCACCTCCACCCATGTCTCAGTGTCCAGGCCCTTATAGACTGTTTTGAAGGACCCTCTGCCAAGCTCAATATCAAACTTAAGAAAGCGTCCACCCGGAGAGGTGGATACTGCCTTCATTCCGGCATCTTCCTCATTCTCGTCACTCCCAGCTTTGTCCCCGCTGTTGGAGGTTTCCGGTGGTTCCTCATCATGTTTTTCCTCAGCCTCGCTTGTCTCTGGCTCTTTGCTGAAGCTCTCTTTTACACAGACTCCCTGTCCCACCGGACTCTTCGCATTAAAACTCCTCTGGACCACAATACGTGCACTTTTAACGGGACTGCTGGTGGTGTCGCACTCTGAAACCTCGAGTTCTTGATCCTCTGACTCGGAGAACCACAAACTTCTGCGTATAAATCTCTGCCGGACCAGACCTCGGTAATCTAATAGAGGGTATGTGGTTGGATCGCTGGCCCCTCTGTGTGCTGCAGCTGTGGGGTCCATATGAGTGGGATGCTCGTGACCATTTTCATAAATTGCAGTCTTTTTTGAGGGGACAGAAGAAACTGTGATGCCCCCAGGCTGCGGCTCAGAGTTGGATCCAGTCAGGTTTTCCATCGCCGGACACTCATCTGTGACTTTCAGCCGTTTATGTGGTCCTCCTTGAATGAATGCACCTGCAATATGGCAAGTAGTTTATTCCTTTAACTAGAATCTATTTTGCATTCCTAGCATGTCCCTACTTGTAAATAATTCAATAATGACTTGTATCTGTTTCAATAGAGTTGTGCAGGTACGACATCAGAACCCGGAAGACTAATTCGCCACTGTTTCCTTCGAGATTTTACTATGGGGTTTTATAATGGGGTTTTTTGATTTATGCGTAAAGCCTGTGGTTAACATAACTTGACTATACTTTGATATTTGTTCTACAATGCAATGCCCATAGCGAAAACGCGAATTTTGAAACAGTTATGTTCGTTTTTGAAAACATAAGTTTTTAATAAGTAACTAGATAAGACCGTTTGGGGTGTGAGTGTGTGCAGTGTACGTTGTAGAACAAAACATCAAAGTATTGTCAAGATATGTTTACCACAGGCTTTATTTTACTCATGAATTGAAGAAAAAAAAAACATAGGAAAATCTCGAAGGAACCAGCGACTTCTGGGTTCTGACGTCATACATGTACCACTTTATTTCACTAACTATTCATTAAAAACTAACACTTATCCCAGAAATCATATCTATTTATAGCACTTTTTAATTACATACTAGCACTTATTCCTTTACTAGCTGTAGGAAAACTATCACAATAGTTACTACTAGTATCTATTCCATATTTACTAGTATATAATTATTACTAGGACATTTACATACCAAAAATATTTTTTAAAAATCAGTTGTTAACATTTTTAATCTCACCACTTGTCATATACAATATAGTCAGAATGGCAACTTTATGGTTATTTTATATTAAAACTCTTACAAGTAAGATTTGAAATGGTTCTACTAACAACTAGAATACTGGAAATGTGTCACCAGTAACATAGTTATGGCCATAACGACTGGCAGCCAAGACTAGGCAATAACTAGCACTAGTGACTAGTTAGAGAAATTTAAATCCAATTTTTCTATTGGATTACTTACAAGTACTGAAATAAATAAGTACTAGAAACATAAACACTATTAGTTTTTAAAGGAATAAATGTTAAAACGGTTTGCCATACCTGCAATGCTAGTCTATCTGACGCAGTTCGGCATCATTTGAGGACCGACTGTCAGTCTCCTCGTTTACATATAAAAGCTAACATTAATTATGATCAAATATTTATGCAATAAGTTAAAAGAGCAAGACAAAATAGCCTATATACTTACTAATGGCATTACTTTGTGTTTCAAGTAGCCTACGAGGCAAACTCCCTTAGCCTAACGTTACATCTGAAATTCATGCCACAAAAATACTAAAACAATTTGAAAATAATTGTATCCAGCGAGAAACTAATATTAGTATCCAACTCACCATGCTGGGTAGCTGACAGCGGCTGTCGCGTTGTTTAATCCGCCACAAAACTATAAAGTGCGCAGCTGTCCCTTGAAATAAGATTTTAATCTCAGACATCTACTTTAACCAAGCAACCACATAGCCGCTTCAAACCCGAGCACCCTTGGTTCTTATAAATGTCAGCGTCTGTAGGGGACATGAAATCCACAGCCCGTTGATGAGATTATTTGCTCACTGCGGCAATGCTCTCCTCATCTCGGATAATACGGCACTGACACCTCCCTGAAGATTCGTCCCTCGTTATTATAGCGTTCAGAGTTAGCTTCTGTTACACTGCTGCTGACTGATGCTCTGTTACGGACATCCTACAGCGCCTAGCAACACACTGTGTGTCCAATAAAAGCGTGTGTTTTTAGGCGGTACCCTTATCCTCCTCTGCACGGGTCGTCATGGACCACACGGGACTCTGGGTCCGCCCAAACCTCCGTGACGTGACGATGAGCTCGACTGAAGGACGGAACAGGACACGTCACTGTCCTGCAGACACAAAACTAATCGTCATATGTTCAACTAATATTCATATAACTAAGTTTGAAGTAGTTTATAGCAACTTCACATACAGCATCTCTTTACTGTGCTCATATATCCCCCTGTTCTCGCCACGTGACTTGGTTAAGACTGCTGAATATTTCATGTGAATGAATGTTATATGACGATGCTTTTTTATTCTCTCACCCCTCCCCTCCTTCTTTTCCTCTCTTGCTGAAAGAGAATGTTCCACCTACTGGAGAAAGCTTGTTTATTCCCACTGCAATATCATTTACAGTATAGGTAGGCTATACTGCATTCTTATAATGGAGACCAAAGGGCGAGTTGCAACATCGTTTAACCAGTAAGAAATGTGGGTTACACTTTATTTTAAGGTGTTACAGTGCTATTATACATTTAAGTAGCCTACTGAGTAATAATTAACTAGCCTACATGTACCTAATATAGGGTTAGGAATAGGGGTTTGGTTACATGTAATTATGTAGTAACTATGTAGTAAATATGTAACTAATAACTATAAATTGTGCATAGTTACTTGCAATACAGTTAACTATACAGTACATGTAACGTGTAACAAGGACTCTGTAAAATCAAATGTTACCGAAATTAGTTACAGGGGTGAACTAAACATACTCAACACTTTCCTGATTTTGTTGCACAGTAGAATGACAGTTTGCTACAAGATGTGAGATAAGATGAAAAATGTATTCCAGTAGTGTAACAACACACTCCACTGGGGTAAGTTGTAACAACAGAACTTTTTGTGCTTGACATTAAAGGCAATTATGGATATATACTGTATGTATATGTATATATATATATATATATATATTACTCAAAGCGAGTCACATAAATTAAGACTGAAAAATGTGTTACAACACTTTGTAGTCTCCTCAGACAAAATCACTTATAGTGCTCTGTTCAATAATGGAAAGTGTATGGACAATTTATTATACCGTAAAAGACTCATCTTTATCACTTAGAGATTTTAAAGGACAAATGTGCAGTGAGGGTCAGAAATATCTTATCATTGCCTGAGGTATTTATAGAAACTGCACTTCTGTAATAGGCTACTGCAATTAATTAGTCTGTCATGAGTCTGTACCTTAAGAACTTGACATATTGAACTGTTGTCAGTGTTCTCTCTTAAACTACAATTAAATAATTCTGCTTTGTCCCAAGATAGCAGGCACTTTCCATGAATAGCCTGAATGGGACCTGAATAAATAAAAAGAAAAACTTAAAAAAAAAGAAAAACTGTTTTACAATAAACTGACAATAAAATTAAGACAAATACATTAGTTTAATTAAAGAATATTACGATTCAAAAGATATATGTATTAGATTTTCAGGACAGAAAAGATAAAAGACAAAGTAGGCTATCTTAAATGTATCAGAAGGAAATATGCAAGATAGAGAATAAAACTCTTTCATATAGCCAATTTAAAATAATCTCTTTGAATATTTGCAAAAGCACTTGTACAGGTGTTGCTGAATTGAGCATCTAAAGTAACTAACTTTGCTTGCACAAAAACTTTGAAGTCATAAAAAAAAACATTTTCATTTTTGGGTGAACTATCCCTTTAAGTCTATAGATTTTTATTGTGTTTTTATTATTTGCTCACCCTCACACTGTTCCAAACATGTATGAGTTTCTTTCTTCTGTTGAACACAAAAGAAGATATTCTGAAGAATGTCGGTAACCAAACAGTTGAGGGGAACCATTGACTTCCATGGGAAAAATGCTATGGAAGTCAATGATGCCCCACAACTGTTTGGTTACAAACATAGGCCTACTTCAAAATATCTTCTTCAAAGAAATTCATACAGGTTTGGTACAACTTGAGGGTGAGTAAATGATGACATAATTTTAATTTTTGGGTGAACTAGGCTACCCCTTTAATTCAGAAGGAGAGATTTCAATATGCTTAGCTAAAATACACGTGAGTTGTGTTTCAACCACCACTAGATGGCATCACAAACACAGATGTCCGGTTCCCGGATACAAGGACAGAATCTGTTTTCCCCCTGCTTTTGCATGTATCTGTTGGCACCGAATCAACGATCTGAAGGTCAATGTGCGATTTTAGGCTCACACATTCATGTCTTACCGACACCAACAGGACTCCAACAATTAAAAATGTTGCAAACCGTTGGGAGTGATCATACGGGCCTATTACACTAATAATAATTTCTACACTGATAAGAGCACGAACTTTGATATTAGATTATGGGCGTTTGGCGGCTAACTTTGTCGACAAAAGTATCGAGCCTGGACTGTAATGATTTGAAGTCCGACTCATTACTGAGAATCGGTTCTTTCGAACAATTCATTTGAACGAACCGTATGAAACAGCCATTCTTTTACATAAAGACTGGACCATAGACTGTAAAGGACTGGACCCTATATCCAGACAAGAAATGCCATTTTATGTAGTCTAAACATTTCGGATATAAAGCACATTACTGTTTATTACGTTTTTTCTATTAAAAATGTATTTTGTTTATTGACATATTATGCTGTAGGATTTGTTGCAGCCGTGCTGTGTCTGTGTGTTATTTAGTCAGGAATGATCAGAAGTATGGTTATGCAACTTACAGCTGCTATAGAATCCAGCTACACCAAGCTGAGAAACCAGCTTCAAACCCAAAAAAGAAAATCAACCCATCTGAGCTGGTTTTGGGTGGTCTTCCCAAGCTCCCTTCTATCAGCTTGACCATCTTGAGCTGGTCTAGCTGGTTTTTCCAGTAGGGCCTGCTTGTAAAAACAAAAAAACAACAAGAACATACAGAAACTAGCAAATATAATTTGCATCTGATTGAAAAGATCCGACTCAAAAGAATGAATCGGACAGCTCGACTGCAGTGATTGGCAGTCGTTTGTCCAGCCTCCATGAGATCATAATGGTAATGCACCACAAACACTCTGAAACCCAGCTATTTACGGACTGTTAGACACGGATACAACCAAAGGAAGGATTATGGCTTCAGAAGAGATGGAGTTAAATGGAGATGCTAGCAGAGGTGATTCGAGAGAGGTGAGGGATTCTGAACAGAACGATAACAAACGCATCCGCCAATGGGATGTTAGTATACAAGTTGAACCTATAGCATTCTGGTGTCTATGAAATCCACTGCGGTTAGACAAAAATACATTGACCGAATAACACTCTTATGTCGAAGAGTTTGATTTGAGGAGTCTGGACGCGTTTCGTTGTTTTTGTTGTAACGTTAGGTCACTATAGGAATGAGGCTGTTCGTGTACATTTTCCATAATCCTCCATACTGTAATGTATGGATGAGTGAGTCTAACTGACGGGATGGGGTAAATCTTGCTGGTCGAAGTTGCTTTCGACTGTCCGGGATTTTGTTTTCCAGTAACGGAAAGTTGTGAGTGGCAACGAGTATACGCTTACGCGACACAAAAGCGGATTAAAGTAGAGAAACAAACCTTTTATTCATTACTCTGGTGTTCCTCTACACAGCGTCCAGACTGATGATGAGATCACCGGGCCGTGTAACCCTCAACAATATAGACTCTGAGACACACTCTAATACACTCTGTCAGTTGAGGCGACACATAACTCGCATTTAAAACCCGGTATAAAATGCATTGGAATGTACAGCGTTGTCTACACTAAGACACCATAACTGTTGCACATGACACGAATAGTAAATAGCCTAAATATTAACAAAATAACACAACATTATTCAACATAAGTCACTACACAAAGTTCTAACTCTATATCTCACTGTATGAGATGGTTTGCGAACGGAATTCCGAGAGTAGTGAACATTTCCCTCAATATTTATATACTAAATGTATTATACTAATATATAGGCTTATATATATATATATATATATATAGTATAATACATTTAGTATATGAGGGAAATGTTCACTAATCTCGGAATTCCGTTCGCAAACCATCTCATTATGTAGTAGGCTATATAGTATAATGTATAATGCATTTAGTATTACCTATTAGTATTAGGTTTGCGAACGGAATTCCGAGAGTGAACATTTCCCTCAATATTTATACTAAATGTATTATACTATATATAGAACTTCCTTGCTATTCCTTGGGTATATTTTAGGGTAAAATATATATTAATAAGGGATCAAAGTGTGTATTTTAAGTGCTCTGACAGATCACCATTTCTCAGTAGAAGTCTCTTTCTAATGTTACCATTAATCAATGCTTTTCACTAAATTAAACTTTGAATTTTAATGTGTTGTTTTTACACTTACATTAATGTTTGCATTGAAAAGAAATCCATGGGAAATCTGAGGTGGAGTGGTTAGAACGACTCGAGCAACATCTTACTACCAGTGTTTTTCCCATCCAGCAAACATCCTGAGACACACAAAATCAAACATTCCTGTGGGCAACACCAATGTTTAAGACATTGTGAGTTTAGGCAGACTGAAAGGCCAGTGATTTCTATGTGGCTATAATTTCCATGCCAAGTGGAAAAGACGCCTCCACCTGCTTTGGTATGATGTAATATTTGAGTAATATTATGGTCAACTGCACCACTGATTTTAATTCTAGTTCCACAGGTCCATAAATAGTCTACCTTCAAAGGAAAAAAAGAAATTACGTTCAACACATGAAGGTATGAGCACAGTTAACAGATAACAGTATAATTGTGAATGTACTGTAGTTCTAGTTTTTTATTATTATCCTATTGCAGTTATATATCACTTTGACAAATTGTTTTTGCCACATTGTAACGGCAGCTGTGCTGTTTTATGCAAGCGAAGTGGTTCTAAATACAGTCTGAAAAACAAGATAAACTGAAACAGAAAAGTACATGTGGTAACTGAAATAATTTACTTTGGACTGCTACCTTAATAAAAAATATAATATAGGTAGCAATATATTGCACACTGGTTTTTAACACCTCAGCTGTGCATTCATTTTCAATAATAATTACAGAATGATATATATATAATAAATACATTATGAACAGGGCTTTGAAAAGTGCTGAACTGTCCAGCCCATGCAAGTCATTATAATCTGCCGGGGTTGCCATGTCTTTATGTTTATGATAGCTTTATTTATGTGTATGCAATTGTTTAATTTAAGTGTAGCGTGTAGAACTTTTCTGCAATCTCCGGCAGCTTACATAACATTTAGTTTTTTAATAGAGCTGCAAGACCCATAGCAGGACAGAGAAAGAGGAAGATACACCAGGCTGTTACATTTAGATAACTGGTTCAGTTTTCTCAGGAAGGCTGTTGTATGTGTGTCAGCAGGGCTTGACATTAACACCCACCAACCCGCCATATGCGGTGGATTTCAGCAGTGGCGTGTAGCGCAGTCACTAATTGTAGTCTTTTAAAAAGGCATCTGAAATAATAAACTAAGTGCAATGCAGTGTTGTCAAAAGTATACATTTTTCGATACTGAAATATCTGAAACACTTCCAATACTAATTTCCCACAGAACAGATACACAATACCCGCTTTTCTTTTTTGCTGCTTATTGCGCTTAAACAGTCAAATACACTCTAAATAATGTAAAAATGGCGGCCTTGATGAGTATTCATGTAAACAAGGTCAATGAACATTAACAGTTGAGAAAGAAAACACCTGTAACAGTAAATTAGATCCGTGCGTCAGGTCTTAAAGTGACAGCAGCCTGATATACCTGCTGTCAAATTATGAGATAATATCAAAAATGGCCGTTTTTTTCCATGGTATCAATGTCTAAATTGTGGCCAGTGAAAATACTGAGTAACTAATAACTTTGGAAAACCACTAGCCACAGTGGCTGGTGAGCAAAAAAAAAAAAAAAAATAGGTTAATGTCAAGCCCTGTGTGTCAGCATCTGAGTGTTAAGGGGTTCATGTGTAGTCATAAAAGTCCTTCTGTTGGGCAGCTGGACTGAACCACTCCCAAAGTCAACCCCTGTCCAGCACTCCACCTAAGAGCCAGGACAACATTTGGATTTGCAGCCAGTTTAACCAATGTTGAGACATTTTTTGACATTTCATAAACTTAGTAGTCTGGGGGAGTTCATACATTTTTGTTAACACTGAAGACGCAAGTCTGCTTACCAGCTGGTGAGAGTCAAGTAACACAAAGCAGACGTAATAATGTGACACCAAAAGCACATGAGAGCCGGCTCACACCTGCAGCCTGACCTCTCCTTCACCATAATAGAGAAGAAAAATGCTTTTGTGTTCACAGAGCCGCATTAGCGAGAGACATACAGAGCTCTTCCAGAGCTGTTCTCAGAAAGGTAAATCTCACGGATCACATGGCCAGTTGTATATTATCTTGTTTAAAAAGAAAGAGCCCAATTTTGGCCAAGCTTTAGCTGTCGGACAGATGGCCTCACATTTGACTCTAGGTCCTGTGGCTGCAAAACAAGCCCAAATCCTCATCCCTCCACCAACGTGCTGGACCGTTGGGTTTGAGGTGTTTGTGCTGATATGCTGTGTTCCATTTTCTTCAAATGTGGCGCTGTGCATTATGGCCAAACATCTCCACTTTGGTCTCGTCTGTCCAAAGGACATTGTTCCCGGAAGTCTTGTGGTTTGTTCAAACCTAAGCTGTGCTGCCATGTTCTTCTCAGAGAGAAGAGGCTTTCTCTTGGCAACCCTTCAAACATCCCATAGGCCTACTTGTCCATAATTTTTTAATTGTATACTGTCATGAACATTTAACATGTTAACTGAGGCCTGTAGAGTCTGAGATGTAATTCTTTTTTTTTTTTTTTTTTGTGATTTCTGGGAGCATTGCACGGTCTGACCCTGGGGTGAATTTGCTGGGACGTCCACTCATGGGAAGATTGGCAACTGTCTTGAATGTTTTCCACTTGTGAATTATCTTCCTCGCTGTAGAATGATGGACTTCAAATAGTTTGGAAATGGCTGTATAACCCTTCCTAGATTGATGGCAGCAACAATTGCTTCTCTAAGATCATTGCTGGCATTTTTCCACCTTGGCATTGTGTTAACACACACCTGAAGGCTCCAGACCAGAAAACTGCCAAAACTCCTGCTTTTATAGAGTTGATCACACGTGCTGATGATCAGTTAATCGAAGGCACTTGATTAGAAGTGCCTGACTGCTACTCACTCTCTTAATTCCTATGGAAGCAGAAAGGCTGTACTCAGTTTGTCACCCATCGCTTCTCCATTTTGGGCTAATTTTTGTTAAATAAATAATGACATGATGTCATATGTCATGTGTTGTTGTTCATCTGATGTTGTATTTACCTCATTTTAAGACCTGCCAAGGACCAGATCATTTTTTATTATGTCCTAATATGTAAAACCATAGAATTCAATAGGGTGTCCTTTCATTTTCACATGACTATACAGAATATAAATTAACATGGATGAACCGTTCCCAATAAAAACTTTAACATGCATTTACAAAATAGATTGGGTTTACTGCCCACTTAAAGGAAGTTTTAGGTACTTTGTGCCTTTGTGTTGTTTCTACGAACGGCCCTTACCGATGGTAAAATTACTGTGTTGCAAGGCCTCTCATGTTAATAATATGACTGACTTTTGCAACTCTTGTTATTTGTATTCTGTTAATGTGACCAGTTAGTCCAGTGACTCTAATGCTTCACACTAGTGTAGTTGTTGAACATCACAGAGAGGATTTCTAATCTACCAAAAAGCAGCTTTAACTAAGAATTCTTACGCTTTCATTTAAAGAAACAATCAGTCATAAATAGAAAATTCTACTGGAATGAAAGCTTTATGGAATTAATTTGACATTTGAAAAATGTCTGTGGTAAAAGAGGTTTCTGTAACCCTACCAGTGATTCTCAATATCCCATATACTTGTGTTTAAAACAGAAGGAAGGAAATCGTGTCAGGGTCAACTAACTCCTCACCCCTTCCTTTCACACATGCCACAAACTTCTCATATCCTAAAGAGAAAAAAACAGCTGACTTTCAGTTCCTTCTAAAACTGAGAAATGTGAACTGGATTAGCCATAAAACCAATTCGTCAGATTAATAGATGGGGTATTGCAGGGCAAGAACAAAAAAATCCATTGCGCATAAGTCAAATTCTATGCAAATCATAATAAGTCTCCAACAACCATAATCGATTTAAGTATACTGTGATCTACCCAAGTAGGGGCATGTTGTTTTATCAAAATCATGGTCCTCATTAGCCTGGATGCCAGCCCGAACCCCGCCCATAACATTTTTGGGTCGGGAAGTTCGGTCTGGACTCAATCTATTGAGAGGAGTAATTATGATCAGTCAAAAAATGTTCGGGCCAATCAAATTGCCAGGGCGGGCTTTATACAATGATGGACAGATGGTCTGCAGGGAGGGACGTAGCCTAATCATCACGTTATCAAAGAGCGCGATGACTGCAGCTGGAGAATTGAGATGTATAGATTCCACTGTCGCGCCTGTTGTAAAATAAATCGACAGCGCATTCATTTTAATAGACGAACAGAAAACTGCAATCAAGGCATTTATCGATGGGAAAGATATTTTTGCCGTCCTTCCTACAGGATTCGGCAAAAGTGTAACTTATCAGCTGGCTCCGATGGTCGCCAAGAAGATGGGACGCAATGAACCCTGTGGTCGTTGTGGTTTCTCCTTTGGTCGCACTTATGGAGGACCAAGTAAAAGAAGCAACACTCGTTATTTTACTTCTTCCAGCGTGCGTGCATTTGAGTTCTGTAGTTGACAACTGTGCTATGCAAAGTAGTTGACTTACTGCGTTGCTCTGATTGGTTGTAGGTCTATCCAATTGAGTGCAGAGTTTTTTTTTTCCTGGTTCGGTTAAGACACGCCTCATAATCAAAGCCCTATGGAGCAGTATCAGACTCACATTCTGACTAGAATATGAGTATGACGAAGTCAGGCTAGGTCCTCATACAATATTTCTACGAAACTGTCAAAACCTACACCCTTAACCTAACCCTTGAATCAGAGAACAAAATAAACAACATAAGTTGATGATAATGTTTTTCTAACATAAACCCTAAAATATGTTTTTTGTTCCAAAAAAGGATCCTTTCCCAACTAGGGTAAATCATATTGAACTGTTTGCAAACAGGATTATCATTGTTAACTAAAAAAAAAAATTATAAAAATAAAAAGCTGAAATAAATTATAAATATTAGATGAAAAATGTAAGGAAATTAAAATAAGAAATGTTGTCTTGCATGCCAGAGAACTGAAATAAGTTTAAGTTGAAGCAATAAAATTACTGTAAATAAACTGGAAAATGGAAACAAATAAAAACTAAAACTGAAATAAAAATGAATAAATTATTATTGACATTAAAAAATGAACACAAATTTAACTAATTTAGTTAATGAAAACTGAATTTATAAAAAATATAAGCCAATTGCAAATATTAGCAAATCTATACTAGCATAAAAATTATTCTAAAATAACACTGTTTGCACAGATTATTTTCCCCATCTACCTCTGTAAACATTGCATGAAGCTCATGTACTCATTACCTTGTCTGTTTATAAGTAACATCACATGTGGGTTTTCATGGTTGTGTTCAGCGTCCTCAGCAGAACCGCTGGTCAAGGAACACCCCAATTAACATGAACCATTACGCCAATAAGAAGAGTGCAGCGGAGAGCATGCTGGATATAGCCCTGCTGATGGCCAACGCATCCCAGCTGAAGACCGTCGTGGAGCTGGGACCCTCGTTCTCCTTCTACACCCCTCTCATCAGCCTCATCAGCATCTCCCTCATCCTGCAGATCATAGTGGGGGTCTTGCTCATCTTCATAGGTGAGAGAAGCTCATCCAAACAGAGAACCCAAAATATAGAGACAAGAATGAATTAAAAATCCACCTTCCATAGGATATCTAATCATATATATATATATATACAGTATATACACACACACACACACGTTTAAGACACGCATAAGAAACCATTTAAATGAAACCTTTTTAAACTGGTTGTGTAGTATGTAAAGCAGTATGCAAATATTTCCTTTTGTTTTGAGTAAATTTACTCGCTCTCATGTTTTTCCAAACCCACATGACTTTGTATGAACACACAAGAGACGTTCTGAGGAATGTTCATGCTCTCCTCCATAGATTGGAAGTGTGAAGCTCTAAAAAAGGACAAAAAGAAACATGAAAACATGATAAAACTAAAGTACTACAATGTAGACGCTTGTATTCCAAGTCTTTTGAGATCATTTGATAACTTTGTGAGGAAAATATTGAAATTTAAGTCATTATTCAATTGCTTTAAAATAACTATTTCTAAGAAAGAAAAGTTGTACAGGGTTTCGGGGGAACTTTTCCTAACATTTAGCCATTCGATCAAATAATAATGTCTAAAAGGAGATTACAGTCAGTTGGTTTTTATTGAATACACAGCATTTCATGTGCACAGTATACAGTACTGCATAATAAAAAAATATAATAAAACCGCTAAAATAGTGCTAGTATAGGTAGCAGAAAGATTGTATTATATTTAGTATTTCATGATGCTTGTGTCAGGTGGTAAAAGTCAGTTCTGGACATTTGTGTGTTTCCCAATTAGGAACTCTTTTACTTTCACTTTTATTTTTGTCCACATAGTGAGTAAGAGCAGATGAATCATTCTGATTTTCAGTTGGAGAAAGAGGTTCGGACATAATTTGAGAAATATTGCTTCCTCTCTTTTCAACTTAAACACTACCCAGCCTCCTGTTTCCAGCAATCATTAACTGTCTGGTATTTCCTTAAACGCAACTCTGTGCTTTACACTGGAATCCACTGTTAACACAATCATCTTGTAATTGGGGAAAAATAGGCTTCATTTTTAATATTGAAGGTTTTACAGTAATCATGAAGGTTCTTTTTGAACTTGAGCAGTCAGCAAAGTGTGTGATGATGTAGATTTTGACACCATATAATTATCATTTTCTAATCCCGAATTTGCCCTTTCATTTTAATTTAAGAAGCTGTTAAATCAGTTTAATAACCTTTTCTTTCATGTAAAAGTTCTGAATTACATAATGAGCTGCTGTTATTGCTTTTGTTCTGCAGTGAAGTGGAATCTGAATGACTCAAGTAAACACTTCATACTGAATCTTCTGGAGAACATCGTCACAGCTCTCGTGTTTATCATCGTAGTAGTGAATGTTTTCATCACAGCATTTGGGGTCCAAAGACCAGAGGAGAAAAAATCTTAACAGGCAATGCTGCTCAGGGTTTCCTACAGGTATATATAGTTGGACATTTATTATCGAAAATTAAATAAATACTCAAATGTGCCTCTATGTAAATATACCTTATGTTTTACATGAAGAAACTTTGGTTTTAGTCCCAGAAATGAGGCGATAACAGGTTAGATAATATAACTTGTGGATCATAAATTCTGATGAAAACAAAAACATTGCAATTACATATAATTGTTATATGGGTAATTGTTTAATTACATAATGCACAGTAATGATAAAATTGGAACAAAAATTCTAATAGAATCATTGCTTTCTGACTTGTCCCAAAGAACAGCCAAACAATGGTCCATGTGATACCTTCAAGCCTGAAATGAACAGTAACACCTCATCTCACATGTGGCCTTCACACTGTCTACCTGATAGTCACCACTCACTGTATTAGCGGCCTATGGAAGGAGGGAGGAAATGTATAGATTCATTTATGTGTGGTTCAACACATTGCAACTCACCGACAGGACATTTGGGTTTGTCTTTACTTTATAGGCCTTGCTGCATGAATAAGAAAGTAAGGATAAATTGTTAAAGAGGTCAGACAAGTCTGAAAACAAGGAACTTGCCATTCAAACTGATTATTAATCTATAGATGTAGTTTGGCCAGAAATGATCTTTTCTCACTACACATGAATATAAATTATCTTAAATACAGCACATTTTCTTTTATAAGTCACCCAAAAAAAAATCATAGCTGGCTTTGTTGTTGTTCAATTTGTAACCTAACGCATGTTGTCTGTTTGCGTTGCCTATATAAGAGCGCCCTCTACTGACTAGGATCTACAATGTCCTTTTCTTTCAAAAATGTAATGTTGTTTGGTGTTTTCATATTTGTTGTGATTATTCACGATCCAATGTTTATATATTTCTTGAACGTTTTGTACATTTTATATGGATATCATTTAAATAAATGACCAAAGATGTTTTTCATTTTTAGATAACAGGATTGTGTCATAAAAGTAAACCAAATCATTAAAAAGAAGTGCATTTAGTCATCATTACAGTGCAGAGATCAATTGTAGAGCTACTTACAGTTGCCTCCATGTCCACAGGTGTTTGTTTTGGTATATCGAGACGTAAAAATCAAATTAATCTCCTAATACATTAGTAACACTTCCAAAGCATCGTTTCATTTAGCCTATTAAAAAGTTTTATTAAACCCTGACAAAAATACAGTTTCTCAGTTAACTATTGTGAATGTTTCAAGGTTGAAAATATCAGTTTCAATAAAGATTTAAAAAACAGTTTTTGTACAATCGCACTGCAGAAACAAGGCCACAAGTTGATAATATAAATTATTAGTACACAAACCAGTGCAAACATGCTGTCAGTATAAAAGTAAGCTATATAAACATGCTCAAATAAAATATATCTGTTTAAACCTTAGCCCAAAAAAAAAATTTATTACAAAGTAACAAGCTCCCAATACTCAGAGGATCAGATTTACCTGTAGTCTTTAGTGTCTCACGTGTCAAAATGTTATGACATGCTGATTTATATGATTTGTCATGTTTATCCAGTTTTGTATGTACTAAATAGTGTAGTGAATTTGGAAGTGTGGACCCCTTTATGTCCACACTTTACTAATATAATTTTAGACAGTCTGTGAGAATTGAAAGGTATTGACTATACATAACAGAAATGAGTTTGAGGTCTGTTTATAACAACAAATGCACAAACAAAATAAGGGTTGTATCTTTAACAGCAGCTCTGCATGTTAACTTCAACTGAATACTTTAGTGTACGAGAGTTAGTTTAATAGTAATGAGTTCCTGCTCTTCTTATGGCATGTAAATGGCTATTATTTCAAATGCATAACTGTATGTAGTTATATAAATCACTATATTGTTATATTTAAAATTGTAACAAGAGATTCCATATTTAGAAACCTTAAAGTTAAATCTTTGGAATTTTGCCTCATGGCAATAATTTCTGTATATACATAGTATGTACTTTTTTTTTTTTTTAAACCTGAATTAAAATATTTTTTTGATATGTTTGACATGGATATTTGAGCTTTTTTGAATACATTTTTATCAAGGCAGCAGAAAATCCATTATTTTCCATCTTCTGTGTACCAGATGAGAACGTCTCGCACTTTTCTACTGAGACCCATCGCAGCCAGACCCAGAGCGCTGCTGGAGCCTGACACCTGCTTGGACTCTGCAGATAAAAACATTGAGCGCTTTCAGTCTAGGGGGTGGATTTGTTGGTGTGGGTATGAAGATATTAACATGTTTGTGCACTTACCACCATAGTAATACAGCAGAGCTGCTCCTACAGCCACACTGAAACAACTGAGGAAGAAAAACGGACCTGTGCAATGACAAAAAAAAGCATGATGGATCATCACTTATGTAAATTGTGTGCGTTTACTAGTGTGTGGTCACAGAAAAAGCTCACTTACTGTGGTCATTTAATACATGTCTTTCTATGGGAATCGGGATTGGGCTGACTGGATCACCAGACTCTACAAAAAGGAATACAACCTGGTAGTCAAACCAAAAATGAGCGACAAACTAGAGGGTTTAACCCTCTAGTGCTCTTCGGTCACTTTTGACCGAGAAGTTTTGATTTTTTACTTCTTTGGAATGGTAAGGCACTTGGTGACTATTATGGCACTTGCTATGTTGAAACACACAAAAATTGTGGACATGATTGGAAAAGGTTAAAAAATTTGCAACAAAGAAATTAATGGGAAATGTATTAATATATGGAAATACAGAGAAATCAGCCACATTGCTGAAAAAAAACCCAGCAATGTAGGGGTTAATGGAATTTTTTTAAAGAAAAAAAAATCATATAGATCAATTGTATTGTAAAAATTGAAGAAACAAATGGATCATAAGTATTGCATTAATATTACTAACCATACAACTCCCTCAAAATACAAAATATCAAATAAATAATATTATTTAATAAAAATATTTCATTAATTTTACTCAAAAAAGTTACATTTGAGGTGTTTGGCCACTTTTGACCGAGGTGAGTGTGGAGCACCAGAGGCTTAATAACAGGCTTAAATACATTTCTACAACCACTGCGAATAAGAAATTATATGTGTGGCAAAAACAAATGAATATCCTCAAAAGAATGACGTGGTTATGAGTGGAAAACGATGATTCTGCCGAACCTCTGAGTCGGAGGCGCGTGGGTAAGCTGAAGTAAACGTCTTCCACGTGGAGGTGAAGTGCGCGGTAAAACTCTCGACATGCCTCTTCTCCTTTCTCCTGAAGATTAGACAGCAGCTCCGCCAGCCTGATACAGGTGGGAACATCCAAATCCCTGAACTAATGTTTGGGAACATCATTATTGGAAAAATCTGTTATATTACAGATATTCCCTAAAAGACAACTGGACAGTTTCTCTGTATTACTGAAGGTGGAGCTCTTACTTTGGAGGCCTCCTTGTCAGTCAGGATCTGTGGGTAGATCCGGTTCAGCTGCAGGATGAGTTTATCCACCAGTTCTGTATCAAGACGTCGGTCCGATTTCAGGAACCAGCTGTCTATTCGCAGCTGTTCATGGAAGCTCTCTGTCATTTACAAAGAATAAAGTCATACAGGTTTAGAACAACACGAGCGCAAGTAAATGACACTTTTTTTTTGCTGGATGAACTGATCCTTTAAAGGCCAACTGAAGTGCCTTGAAACGCGCAGTATTATTCAATGTGTTGACTTCATTTCTACTGAAACAGGAAGATAGTGTGGGACACTCCCCTTCTATAAAATAGCCAATAGTGTTTAGTTTGCATTACAGCTCGGCCAGAGCCGTTGAGCTCGGTAAAGCCGCAGTTTCTTCTAACCGTTTCTCCTCTTAATCTCCTCCGTATTGCTTTAAAATACAGCATTCTGTGAAGAATTCAAATGGGTCTGATATGTTTTGGGGTATACGATGCGCTCGGTACTTTCATGTCTCTGGACCAGAGCGGCAGTGGTTCGTGTGAGAGACTAACGTGAAACCAGACTTCATTCGCCCCAATGGAAAGCATGCTTACACTGTCAGAACCGCTCACTATCCCCTATATAGTGTGCTATGTGCCATTCACAATGTAGAAAATAGCAGGCTAAATGTGTGAAGTGACAGATTTTAGCCGCAGCTTCAGCGTCTATTTATAATGTAGGGGGCGGGATGCTTTAGTTTCCAGAGAGCATTTGATTGGAAAGAAAGCTTGAGACGCTGAAGTGCAGAGTGATGTCATCAAAATCACTGATCCATATTGGCGGAAGTGAGAGACTGTAAGTTTTGAATGCTTATATCTTATAAATGTGAATTTTGTCATTATTGTTTTTGGAGCACAATAGCTTATAGATAACAGTAAGGCTAAAATAGTCATACTAAAAGCCCAAAAACTTCAATCTTGATTTCATGGGGACTTTAAATAAACCATTCTATTAAAATGAATGCAGGGCACATTTCGGCCAGAAGATGTCGCAACATCATAATATTACATTGAGCAAAAACACGGGAAATGCAAGACTGTCAAACATACTTTGAGGGTTTCTTTGTATGACTTTTAGCCAACAAACCGACTTATAAGTTCAGAAGTACAATATCAGCTGGTTATAGAGCTTTTGAAATGCAACATATTAAGCAGAGTAGACTTTAAGGCACCGCAATCGAGCAACAACTGTCGAACTGTCAACTAGTCGATCCAGTTCAAGTTTGTGAGCAGCGTGTATATGGATCCTATAAAGCCAACTTTACAAAGTAAAATTACTATCCTGAGTTCATATTTATACTTCACATCAAACAAAACAGCAGTAACAAAGTTTGACTGACCTCCCATTCTGAAGTGCCCTCTGTTGTCTTTTGTTTGGAAACGCCCATGGCGTCGGAGAGGCGGAAACCATGGTGAAAAAATTACCGGAAGTTCCGATCAAAATGGGGAAAATTGTACATAAGGGATCTTTACGCAAATACAGATTATTGTTAAAAATAGATTCGAATACCTTTGTATAATAGATGGAACACTTACAACTGCATATTAGTTGTTGACTGGCAAGCAGTGAGCGCTCCATATAAAACGATTTTGATATTAATAAACAATCTATTACGTGTAAGTTATAATTTATATATAAATATAATAATGTATAACGTAAAATAATATATGTATACATAGCCCATTCATACATATACATGTATAAACACACGTCACCTATCTATACACACATTCAGTTACACACAAATGCATTATTTTACATTAGTTTATTTATTTTCCTCGTTTTTTGTCAAATGAGAAATGTTAAAGACAGACATGGGCCTATAATGTGTTCCTCATGATAAACTACAGGGAATCTCAAATGTTCAGAAAAATAGCACAACATTGAAATCAGTACTGTAAAAAACAAAACAAAAAACAGGTGATGCAGTATAGCTTACCATACACTATACCTGTAAGATTTCAAGTAGAAATGCAAAGAGAGGCAGCGCATGTGCCGGTTAAAATGCATATAAACCTAGTCATTAATACTGAACGATACGTTATGAATAAATATGAACAAACACATTAGGTCATTCCATACAAATGTGTAAAAAAAACTCAAAATGTCACAATAAGCTATGACATGGCTGATGAAGCGGTTTTCAGCAAATAGAAAACTATTGCATGCACTCCAGAAACAGCACAAAATTGCACTTAATTTGTGGTCAAAAGAAGAAGAAAAAGAAAGGAAAAAGGTCATTTAAAACTCATAATGTCTTAAATTTGAAATGGCACAAATGTTCTGAGGCAAAGTTTTCTGCTTGCTGAAATACAAACAAAATATTATCAAGGTTACACATAGGAAAATAATGACTAACAATGTCAACAGACAGCCAACAAGACTGCCATCAGAAATCATTTCTTCCTCAAAGGAATGTATGATTTTAACACACCTAATCCTCCTTACTACCATTTAAAATCTCCTAAACAAGCAATCTGAGTTGAATTTCAAAAGGAGTGTTTAATGATGACTATCCAAATTAGATGTTCACATTGGGCCAAATGGTTAAGACCTGTAGCGAGACTGACAGAAAAACTGTTCATGAAAACAAAAAACAATAAAAAGGCACAGGAGGTCTTAGGAGAGGATTATATATATAAAAAATAATAATAATAATGTATTGCATTGTAAAATACAAAGACCTTAATGCAGTATTTGGCAAAACATGTAGAAAGTATTCCAATTTGGAATCGATTTGTTTTTTATAAATGTCTTGAATTTAACATTTTCGCGACCCACTATGAAAATTGACCCCAATATTTTCCGGTCAAAGTCATTGTTCTTTTAGTGGAGTTACACTACATGACTAGCAAGATAATGTTCAGTTAGAATGTTTGACTATTGAACAGAACAAGAAACATAGGCTTATTTAACATAATTGTCCTCCCTGGAGTATGCTTAGAACCTGGCAGTTAAGCATTTAAAATACTATTAACAAACAAATAGTTCTTATATTATTATTTTTTTCAGTTAAATACGTAAAATTTGCAAGAGCAAAACAATAAATGTGCTAAGTATACTGAAATGTGCATCTCTTACATAATAACTAATGCACTAAAAGTGCACAGTTAAAAATAAAAAACAATAAAGCAGAAAAAATAAAATACCACAGTAACAGTCAGAATAATGATTACATAGACCGACCGGCTTTACATGTGAGCCTGTGTTTCCTTGCAGCCACATCCAGGGACAAATTTCTTGTTTCCAAAATTGAACCAGGCATGTGTATTCTGGACGTATAGTGTAGAGTGAAGGAAGGGGGAAATAGCCATTTGCAGCCAGAGCTAATACAATTACTGCAAAATTGAGAAACAAAACAATCATCAGAATGATCACATCATAAATTATCCAAATGTAACTTAAAGGTATAGTTCACCCAAAAATGAAAATCATGTCATTAATAACTCACCCTTATGTCGTTCCAAACCTGTAAGGCTTTCGTTCATCTTCGGAACCAAATAATTTTTTTTGATGAAATCTGAGAGCTTTCTGTCCCTCCATTGACAGCTACGCAACTACCCCTTTCAAGCCCCAGAAATGTAAAAACATAAAAGTAATCCATGTGACTCCAGTGGTTTAACCTCAATTTTATGAAGCAACGCAAGTGCTTTGCGTTCCGAAGATGAACGAATGTCTTACGGGTTTGGAACGACATGAAGGCCAAGTAATTAATGAGCTATGCCTTTAAATAATATATCTTAATAAGTTCACATGGAAGTAGACAAAGTGAATGTTACCGTCAACAATGAGACCAGTTAGATCCATTAGTAAACAGCAAAACAGAAGACTCACTCTTCCTGATGCAATGGACAGCAGGAAACAGAGGACTCACATGCATCAGACAACATGCAATCTAATACAAAGGTTTGAGACTGAGAGCAGATCATGCATGCTACAGTGGTTCAGAGTCACCACTGTGAAGACAACATGGACAATGTATGTTATACTGGCTTAATGGCTAGATGAAGTATGATGAACAAAATCAACAAAGACATGAAACAACATAAAATCACAGTTGAAACTAAATTCATCTTGGAGAAGGATAGTCTAAAATTTCTTAATGCATTTTTCTGTGCACGCAAACACAGACATCATCTTTAAGAAATCTTGTCACAAATATAGACATCATATTTAACAAAAGACCTTCGTTTTTGTAATATTTTTTGCAAAATACGGAAATCTGCAGCATCAATTATGTCCTTTAGGGTTGCAGGTTGCAACCTGGATTGCAAATCTCCCAGCAGGCTCAGTAAAGTGCGTCTCTGTTGGGATTACACAGATTTATTCCCACTGACACAGAGATTAACAGACTAGCTTTGTGAAACTGGGTTTAACTCAATGACATTCGGTATTATCAGTGCTGGCTATGTTCGAGTAGAAACATTGGGTTCAAATGCTCCGACAGAAAAGCCAAATTTAGATATGGACATAGATATATATTAACATGGTTAGACATTGTCTTCAATCATTTCCTCCATCCTTGTTCATAAATATCTACGTCCCAGTAGTTTAGTTACAACACAATATATTTGCTTGTAGTAAGACACTGGAAATGAAAGTAATGCATTGCATTATACATTACAGTGCGTTCTGGTTATATACTGCATCATTTGCCAAATATAGTATATACCGGCACTCGTCGATACTAAAAGTTGCAAAAAATAACCACATATTGGAGTTCACCTATTATGAAATGTTTGGAAAACTCCAAGAACAATGATCATTTTTTTCAGTGAACTAGCAAGTGATAACCCTAGTAGTTAAGATGGCATTACCAACACAACTATTCTCTCCAGGTAGATCTACAGAACAAAAGTCAACACATGAGAACTGTTAGTACAAACATGTTAGTGTTGTTTTGTCCCAAGCACACACACAGTAAAAGGAGTGTTAGTTAGTATGAAGATGCTGATGAGTGACAGTTACACACAGATGTTAATCGGATCCAGCATCACACAGAATTTTATACTTCTCACTGCAGAAAACCGCAGGACTTCCAATGAGGCCGTGTGGTTGTGGTCGGTTCTTACAGGGAAGTCTAGGACTTACATGGGGGCTGGAAAAAGACAAGGGTCCTCTGCCACGCCCAGATGGAGCCTTCCCACGTCCACCTGGCCCAGCACCGGATCCTCTTCGGGATTGCTCGTGGTCAAACTCCAGATCCTCCAGTCGCTGAGTGAGGGCCAGTTTTTGCTGGATGGCCATACGCAGGAGGGAGTTCAGAGTCTTCTTCTCATCTTCCGCTGCAGCCAGCTGCCTCTGCATGTCGTCCAATTGTGTTACATACTCATCACACCTAAAGAAGAAAAAGTGAAAGAGGGATAGAGATGTAATAAACCAGATTTAGTTCCTGAATACACCAGGGGCCTAAACCATGAAGCCGGTTTAGGTGGCTAGCCCGATATGTTTCAGTTTAGTTTGCGCCAACCCTGGGTTTTAGGCACCATGAAAGTGGTTTGGCTTTTAGCAGTGTTCATCGCCATAGTAACTTACGCTCCACGGCTAACCTGGTCCGGCAGGTTATGTTCCAGGCAAGAGGTTGCAAACCGAACTTGGACCAATCAGCAGTGAGGAAAGTGACATGTCTGATGCGATAAAGTCACTCCACCTGTTTCCACTCCAAATTAAAGATCACTACATAGCAAATGATTTTTAAAGACAAAATCATCTGGCTTTTAGGAATACTTATTTACAATAATAATTTATGTAATTATTGTACCCTTAATCAATCACACATGTACAATTTTAGTTTATCAATTATTATTACTCACAGTTTAATTGAATAAATATATAAAAGGTAATATAAATGCGCTTTAGAATCAATAGATAAAGCTATAAAATGACTACATGTGAGCTTAAATGTTACATTTTCTCTACTTTTATCAAATGTATAAACTAACTTCACAACTTTTACTTGCACTGATATAAGATTTTTCTTTTAGTTGTCCTCTTCATAGACAGCAGTTTTCTTCTTGTTGTGTAAATTTGTTTAAATTCTTTATATTTTTCAATCTCATAATATTCTGCAGAAGAGAGAAGTGAATCGCACTGCTTCTCTCGCGAGAAATGAATCTCAGTTTCACTCTTTCTCAGCATGTGATTGGTTGTTCGCTACTGATGTCACACCTAAACTCCTAAACTCAGGATCAAAGCCTGAGTTGACAGAGAAAGTTGATGATCAGCATCATGGTACCAACAAAGCCTGGCTGGTTTGGTTTGAATTTGTCAACTCAAAACTAATCCTGTAACCTTGAGTTTGTTCAACTACCATCATGGTACAGGCCCCTGGTATTAAGATGTGTTTTGGTCGATTGGATCACAAGTGGACGATTCCAAATACAGGTGTAAATGGGGTCTACAATGTTTTGAGCTTGTCCACTT